CACCATTTCCAAGTTTGCGGACGACACAAAGTTAGGTAGGGTGGTAAACAGTGAGAAGGATAGCAACCAACTGCAGGAAGACATAGACAGAATGGTAAAATGGGCGACACATGGCAGATGAGTTTCAATGTAGAGAAATGCAAAGTAATGCATTTTGGTAGAAAGAATGAGGGGAGGCAATATAGGCTGATAATACAATCTTATGGGGGCGTAAAAGAACAGAGAGACCTGGGGTTGCAGGTAAATGAATCCTTGAAGGTGGCAGGACAGGGAGATAAGGCTGTGAAAAGGGCATATGGGATACTGGGATTTATAAATAGGGGCATAGAGTACAAGAGTCAGGAGGTTATGATTAACCCATATAAACACTGGTTGGGCCTCAGTTAGAATACTGCGCCCAGTTCTGGGCACCACACTATAGGAAGGATGTTAAGGCATTGGAAAGGGCGCAGAGGAGATTTATGAGGATGGGACCAGGAATGAGGGACCGTGATTATGAGAAAAGGCTGGAGAGGTTAGGATTATTCTCATTGGAGCAGAGAAGGTTACGAGGAGAGCTAATAGAGGTCTTCAAAATCATGAGGGGATTTGATAGGTTAGAAAAGGGAAAAACTGTTCCCACTGGTGGGTGTGTCGGTGACTCGAGGTCACAAATTCAAAATAGTCTCTAAACGAAGCAAAGGGGAGGGGAGAAGAATTTTTTTCACGCAGCGAGTTGTTCGAACCTGGAACGCATTGCCTGAAAGGGTGATCGAGGCCGATTCGATAACTACTATTAAAAACGCAGTGGACGGGTATCTGAGGAAGAAGGGTTTGCAGGTTATGGTGAAAGGGCCGGGAATGGGATTAACATTAATTGCTCTATTCAAAGTGCCGGCACAAATTCGATGGGCCGAACAGCCTCTTTTTGTGCTGCACGATTCTATGATTCTATGATTCTGTGTAGATAGCCACATTGTGTAGATAGCCACACTGTGTAGATGGCCACACTGTGTAGATGGCCACACTGTGTAGATGGCCACACTGTGTAGATGGCCACACTGTGTAGATAGCCACAGATGGCCACACTGTGTAGATGGCCACACTGTGTAGATGGCCACACTGTGTAGATGACCACACTGTCTAGATAGCCACACTGTGTAGATGACCACACTGTCTAGATAGCCACACTGTCTAGATAGCCACACTGTGTAGATAGCCACACTGTGTAGATGGCCACACTGTGTAAATGGCCACACTGTGTAGATGGCCACACTGTGTAGATGGCCAAACTGTGTAGATGGCCACACTGTGTAGATAGTGGAGTCCTGTGGAGTCCTGTAGCTCAGTGGTTGAGCACTCGCTTTGCGTGCGAGAGACCTGAGTTCAATTCCAGGCAGAGGGCGAAACCTTGGGCAAGTTTCCTTACTCCACACAGAGTAAATTGGTCATTTTCAACCCATGACTGTTTGTGGGACAATGCTGTGCGCAATTGGCTGCCGCATTCGCCCACAAATATACAGTCAATTCACTTTACAGTGTGTTCTGTGAAGCGCTTTGGGACGTCCTCCTGACGTGAAAAGCGCTATATCAAATGCAAGGATTATTATTATTATTATTATTATTATTATAGCCACACTGTGTAGATGGTCACACTGTGTAGATGGCCACACTGTGTAGATGGCCACACTGTGTAGATGGCCACACTGTGTAGATGGCCACTCTATGTAGATGGCCACAATGTGTAGATGGCCACACTGTGTAGATGGCCACACTGTGTAGATGGCCACACTGTGTAGATGGCCACAATGTGCAGATAGCCACACTGTGTAGATGGCCACACTGTGTAGATGGCCACAATGTGTAGATGGCCACACTGTGTAGGTAGCCACAGATGGCCACACTGTGTAGATGGCCACACTGTGTAGATGACCACACTGTGTAGATGGCCACACTGTGTAGATGGCCACACTGTGTAGATGGCCACACTGTGTAGATGGCCACTCTATGTAGATGGCCACAATGTGTAGATGGCCACACTGTGTAGATGGCCACACTATGTAGATGGCCACACTGTGTAGATGGCCACAATGTGCAGATGGCCACACTGTGTAGATGGCCACACTATGTAGATGACCACAGTGTGTAGATGGCCACACTCTGTAGATGGCCATGCTGTATAGATGGCTACACTGTTTAGATGGCCACACTCTGTAGATGGCCACAATGTGTAGATGGCCACACTGTGTAGATGGCCACACTGTAAAGATGGCCACACTGTAAAGATGGCCACACTGTGTAGATGGCCACACCGTATAGATGGCCACACTGTGTAGATGGCCACACTGTGCAGATGGCCACACTGTGTAGATGGCCACACTGTGTAGATGGCCACAATGTGTAGATGGCCACACTGTGTAGATGGCCACACTGTAAAGATGGCCACACTGTAAAGATGGCCACACTGTGTAGATGGCCACACCGTATAGATGGCCACACTGTGTAGATGGCCACACTGTGCAGATGGCCACACTGTGTGGATGGCCACGCTATGTAGATGGCCACACTGTTTAGATGGCCACACTCTGTAGATGGCCACACTGTGTAGATGGCCACGTTGTGTAGGTGGCCACACTGTTTAGATGGCCACATTATGTAGACTAGTTGAGCCTTTTGGTGACGAATGCAAGTGTGAGGGTATTGTCAACCTGAACGGGTGTGGCAGTAGTGCAGAACAGGTTTAGGCCGTATTATCTTTAATGTATCAGGAAGCATTTTTTAAAGATGTTTCCGTAACAACGTCACTGACGCAGAACTTTGGAGTTGATTGATCCTATTCCGTGACTAGTGGAACCATCCCTCACTCATATAAGTCACACAGCTTCCCTTTGGCGAACACTTCACGTAAAAGCTGTCACCAACTGGTAAGATATTGGACCATTGTTCGTCTCCCTACAGGTATCCGAGGAAGCTTTGTTCTGCCTCTAACGCTGACTTGGGAGTTTGGACGGTAAGTGTAGTGGCAGCTTTCTGTCTCTCCAAATCTGACCTTGGTGTGCGCACGGACAGTGTAGATAGCCACAGATGGCCACACTGTGTAGATGGCCACACTGTGTAGATGACCACACTGTGTAGATGACCACACTGTCTAGATAGCCACACTGTGTAGATGACCACGCTGTCTAGATAGCCACACTGTCTAGATAGCCACACTGTGTAGATGGCCACACTGTGTAGATGGCCACACTGTGTAAATGGCCACACTGTGTAGATGGCCACACTGTGTAGATGGCCAAACTGTGTAGATGGCCACACTGTGTAGATAGTGGATCCTGTGGAGTCCTGTAGCTCAGTGGTTGAGCACTCGCTTTGCGTGCGAGAGACCTGAGTTCAATTCAGCAGGCAAACCTTGGGCAAGTTTCCTTACTCCACACAGAGCCTAATAATAATCCCTTCAAAACCAAAAACAATAATAAATTGGTCAGACTGTGTAGATGGCCACATTGTGGGACAATGCTGTGCGCAATGGCTGCCGCATTCGCCACAAATATACAGTCAATTCACTTTACAGTGTGTTCTGTGAAGCGCTTTGGGACGTCCCTCTATATCAAATGCAAGGATTATTATTATTATTATAGCCACACTGTGTAGATGGTCACACTGTGTAGATGGCCACACTGTGTAGATGGCCACACTGTGTAGATGGCCACACTGTGTAGATGGCCACTCTATGTAGATGGCCACAATGTGTAGATGGCCACACTGTGTAGATGGCCACACTGTGTAGATGGCCACACTGTAAAGATGGCCACACTGTAAAGATGGCCACACTGTGTAGATGGCCACACTGTGTAGATGGCCACAATGTGCAGATAGCCACACTGTGTAGATGGCCACACTGTGTAGATGGCCACAATGTGTAGATGGCCACACTGTGTAGGTAGCCACAGATGGCCACACTGTGTAGATGGCCACACTGTGTAGATGGACCACACTGTGTAGATGGCCACACTGTGTAGATGGCCACACTGTGTAGATGGCCACACTGTGTAGATGGCCACTCTATGTAGATGGCCACAATGTGTAGATGGCCACACTGTGTAGATGGCCACACTATGTAGATGGCCACACTGTGTAGATGGCCACAATGTGCAGATGGCCACACTGTGTAGATGGCCACACTATGTAGATGACCACAGTGTGTAGATGGCCACACTGTGTAGATGGCCATGCTGTGTAGATGGCTACACTGTTTAGATGGCCACACTCTGTAGATGGCCACAATGTGTAGATGGCCACACTGTGTAGATGGCCACACTGTAAAGATGGCCACACTGTGTAGATGGCCACACCGTATAGATGGCCACACTGTGTAGATGGCCACACTGTAAAGATGGCCACACTGTGTAGATGGCCACACCGTATAGATGGTCACACTGTGCAGATGGCCACACTGTGTAGATGGCCACACTGTGTAGATGGCCACACTGTGTAGATGGCCACACTGTATAGATGGCCACACTGTAAAGATGGCCACACTGTGTAGATGGCCACACCGTATAGATGGCCACACTGTGTAGATGGCCACACTGTGTAGATGGCCACACTGTGTAGATGGCCACGCTGTGTAGATGGCCACACTGTGTAGATGGCCATGCTATGTAGATGGCCACACTGTGTAGATGGCCACGTTGTGTAGGTGGCCACACTGTTTAGATGGCCACATTATGTAGACTAGTTGAGCCTTTTGGTGACGAATGCAAGTGTGAGGGTATTGTCAACCTGAACGGGTGTGGCAGTAGTGCAGAACAGGTTTAGGCCGTATTATCTTTAATGTATCAGGAAGCATTTTTTAAAGATTTTTCCGTAACAACGTCACTGACCAGAACTTTGGAGTTGATTGATCCTATTCCGTGACTAGTGGAACCATCCCTCACTCATATAAGTCACACAGCTTCCCTTTGGCGAACACTTCACGTAAAAGCTGTCACCAACTGGTAAGATATTGGACCATTGTTCGTCTCCCTACAGGTATCCGAGGAAGCTTTGTTCTGCCTCTAACGCTGACTTGGGAGTTTGGACGGTAAGTGTAGTGGCAGCTTTCTGTCTCTCCAAATCTGACCTTGGTGTGCGCACGGACAGTGTAGAGGGTCTATACTGTGGCTCTGACCCTGACCTTGGGGTCTGGATACACAGTGCAGAGGGAGCTTTATAGTGTCTCTATCGCTGACTTGAGAGTGTGGACAGACAGTGTAGAGGAAGGTTTAATGTGTCCATAACCTTGACCTGGGATTGTCGATGTACATTTTAGAGGGAACTTTACTCTTGTCTCTATCTCTTACATAAGCGTGTGGAAGACACTGTAGAGGGAGCTTTACTGTGGCTCTAACCCTGACCTGAAAATATGGACACACAGTCTAAATGGAGTTTTCCTCTGTCTCTTATACTAAGCGTGACAATGAGTATTAACTGGCTTTCTTTTAAGCAGGAAATTGACGGTCAAGGATGGAGCTTCGTGTGATATGGAGCTTTCTGGTGATCATCGGTGAGTGAGCGAGATATCTCAGAGCACCAGGGACACAGAGTGAGACAGCGACAGAGAGAGATTGTGAGAGCGACAGAGAGGCAACAGAGCGAGAGTAAGAGACCAACACAGAGGGACAGAAAGAGAGAGAAAGAGAGAGTGAGAGATCATTATATAGAGACAGCGAGTGAGTGAGACTATCACACACAGAGACCCGTGTGGTGAGATTGGGATTGAGGGAGTTGGAGTGATAGGCTTGCAGACTTATCAGGCAATGACTGACACTGTCTCTTATTTACAGGATTGTTAAAGCAAGCCGCTGGACAAAATATGTCTGTGGGTAAGCTGTGTCTCGAATATATTTTTATATTGTCTATCATGCCAGACAACATGTGATGTTATAAACAAATGCAAACAATGACTGCTTTCCTCTCACCTGCTTATCGGTGGGGAATATCCTTCAGCAAGTGAAAATACATAAAATATCTTAATAACACTTACAATAATGATTGCATTTGATACAGCGCTTAACCACATCATTGACATGTCTAAAAGCACTTCACATAATATACCATTCACTATCCTGTCTCCCCGTGGCTCAGTGTCGTGCCGCACTGTGAAGCGCTCTGCGATGTTACCCGGCTGTATAACTGTAAGATGTTGATATTGTTGTTTTTGACCATATATTTTTTGAGGGAGAAACATGGCAGCAAATATATAAATGTCCCACAAACTTTCTTGGATTGAGTAACCAAATTATACCTACCTACCTACCTACCTACGTGCCCATTCACCCACCCACCCACCCACCTACTCACAAACCGTTAATTGGGTAACTGCTGTGCACAATTGGCTGCCACATTTCACCCACAAAATATACTGTCAATCCACTTTACATTTATTCTGTGAAGCACTTTGAGATGTCTCAACAATGTGATAAGGAGTTATATCAAATGGAAAGATTATTATCTACTTACTGTAATGGTAGTGCTGTTTTATTTTACACAAGCCCTGGCTTGCAAGCGAACGATCGCATTGTTTTGCTAAGGAGGCTCATATATTAAGGAACATTTTGACGATGTGGGTTATGGCACTAAACAAAGGGATTAAGACAACAGGAACTCAGCAATCGATCTGCAGTCTGTAACCAGATCCAGTCATACCCAGGGACTGAGGCATGTGCAGAGAATTTCAAAAGGTTTCAATCAAGACACAGGACAACAACAACAACAACAACAACAAGATATCCATTTATAGAGCGCCTTTCACGTCAGGAGAACGTCCCAAGGCGCTGTACAGTTGGGTCAGGACCCGAGCAGGGGGGAAATGGTCAGGGTGAGGGGAGGGAAGGGAGGGAGCGAGGAGGGGGGAAATGGTCAGGGTGAGGGGAGAGAAGGGAGGGAGCGAGGAGGGGGGAAATGGTCAGGGTGAGGGGAGAGAGGGAGGGGGCGAGGAGGGGGTAGAGAATGGCCTTGTAGGTGAGGATGAGGATCTTGAATTCGATCCTCTGGGGGATATGGAGCCAGTGGAGGTGAACGAGGGCGAGGGTGGGAGTGATGTGGTCGCGGTGTCTGGTGTGGGACAGTACACGAGCTGCAGAGTTCTGAATGACCTGCAGTGTGGAGGGAGGGCCGGGAGGGCGGTGAGGAGAGAGTTCCCATAGTCCAGCCTTGAGGTGATGAAGGCGTGGACCAGAGTTTCAGCCGCGTGAGGGGTGAGGTAGTGCCATAGTCTGGCGACATTCCGGAGGTGATGGAAGGCGATGCCAGTTGTGGTGCGGATGTGAGGGAGAAAGGACAGCTCAGGGTCGAACAGAACCCCGAGGTTCCTGATGGCTTTGAGAGGTGGAGAGTGCAGCCTTGGATGCTGATGGTGTCAGCGCCTGAGGTGCGGAGGCACTGACTCGAGCCAATCAGGAGGGCCTCGGTTTTTCGCACGTTGAGCTGAAGAAAGTTGTCTCTCGTCCAGGACTCGATGTCGGACAGACAGCTGTCAGGACATCGGTGGTCGTGGAGTTGAGGGTAGAGGAGGAAAGGTAGAGTTGGGTGTCATCCGCATACATGTGGAAGTTAACCCTATGTGTGCGGATGATGTCACCAAGGACGAGAGTGAAACAGAGACTAATATCTTTAAAATAACTTTTGTTTGTTTTATTACAGACCTCTACAAACTTACTTATATCATGTGTTTTCTTCTAACTGCTGCTTAAATTTTATCGCTAGCTTTCAATGATATTATTTCTATTGAATTATATTGCTTAGACATATCCATACCTAGCGATATCTAATAATATCAAAGAAACAAAATAATGACTGTTTTCCATTGACCCGGTTGCGCAAGCCACCCATAAGTGTACGCGAGGCAAACCAGCGACTTGCAGGACCAGCAGTGTGTGATGCGTCGCACTTCCCGCTCTGTCTACCAGTGTGTGTGTGAGGTGAGCTGACAGCTTCCAGAACCATCTGGTTGACACGTACCCATCTTCCCATAACTCTCTGCCTTTGGACAACAACTACAACAACTTGCAGGTATATAACGCCCTTCATGCGGGGTAGCGTTTCAGAGCGCTCCAACCACTGTTGACAACCCAGAGGACAAATGGCGGCAAGCACCCACCCAATGGGTGACCACCATTTCCCTTTCTACGCTTGCTGCCTGCGGAAAAACAACAACTTGCAATTATAGAGCAAACCTCATGTGAGGCAACGTCTCAGAGCACTGAACAGTGTGGGCACGGTCGAAGAGGAAGGTCTTCAGTCGTGATCTGAAAGAGGGAAGGAAGGTGCAAGGAGGAGGGATGGGCAGGGGAGGGGGGGCGGGGGTGGCGCTGGGGGAGATACAGAGTTTCAGAGTGTAGTGACTGAAATTGCAGCCACCAATGGTGGAGTGGAGGGGATGAGGGATAAGCAGAAAGCCAGAGCTAGCTGAGCAGAGGCAGCAAATAATGGAGTGAGGATTAAGCAAGTCGGAGAGGTAGGGAGGTGCCAGGGCATGAAGGGATTTGTATACGAGTGAGAAGATCTTGAATACCGTTCTGTGAAAGGAAGCCAGCGGAGCCTGTCGATGACTGGTGAGATGGGGGCACAGGTTGTACAGTGTGTGATACGGAGCCAGTGGATCCTGGACTGGTGTGATGGGGGTACGAAGCCAGTGGAACCTGGACTGGTGTGATGGGGGTACGGAGTTCATTGCTTGTGAGAGAGAACCAATAGAGCTTGGCGATGACTGGGACGATGGGTGTATGGAGTTTAGTGTGTGTGATAGGGAGTCAGTGGAGCCTGGCGAAGATGGGGGTAATGTGCGTATGCAGATTAATGTGTGTGATAAGGAGGCAGTGGAACCCGGTTAGGACAACAAGATAACAACAACAAGGTTCCATTTATTGAGCACCTTTCACGTCAGGAGGACGTCCCAAGGCGCTGTACAGTTGAGTCAGGACCCGAGCAGGGGGAAATGGTCAGGGTGAGGGGGGCGACGGGAGGGAGGGAGCGAGGAGGGGGTAAAGAGTCGAGAGAGGAGCTGAAGGCACGGTCAAAGAGAACTGCGGTGATGGGGATAAGGAGTGTGATTGGAAGCCAATGGAGCCCAGTGAAGACTGAGGTGATAAGGGTATGGAGTTTAGTGTATGCAACAGGGAGCCACTGGAGCCTGGCGAGGACTGCGGTGATGGGGTACGGAGTTCAGTGTGGGTGAGAATCTGGGCAGTGGAATTCTGAATGAGTTGTCGGTTTGGGCATAGTGGTGCTGGGGAGACCAACGTGAGTTGTCTCAAGCTTTCCTTATTCCTTGATATAAATTTGATTCTGTCCTTAACAATTTCAATTCCTCTTATGATTCATAGGTCTTTGATCCTTCTTGAACCACCTCTCATTATCCTTTGTTGTAATTTTGATCCCATCAAATGGGGGAGATAAGCATAATCTCTTTGCAGCAACTATTCCAGGGTGACATGTCTGACATCAGAATATCGGAATCAAGCCAACCCTGTGACGGTCTCTAGTCCAGTTTCTGATCCTAGTGGGTCCACACTATTCCAGGGCACTACTCCTACACGCATTCACAATATCCACGCCTGACTACACAAACTCCCTGCTTGCCAGCCTCCCAAAATCTTCGCTCCATAGGCTGCAGATCATCCAGAACTCTGCAGCCCGTGTTCTCTCATGCACTAGGCTCCGCGACCCTATCACCCCCATCCTTGCCCGATTCCACTGGCTTCCTATTACACAGAGGATACAGTTCAAGAACTAGGCCTTCATCTTCAAATCTCTCCATCGCTTAATCCCCCTGCCTCTGTAACCTTCTAACCCCCAGTGCAGCCCAGCCTGGCTCATCGGCAGGACCTGGTAGGGCAGACAAGTCACTATTGGCGGGAAATCCTTTCACTTAGTTCCTGTTATCCCTGCAAGCCAAAGCCCTAACTGGGAAGGGTGGTCCTAGCTGGACAAGCAGCAAGGAAGCTTGCCAAGCCTTGGTTCCTGCCAACCTGTGCCTAATATCTTCAGAATTAAGAAAGTAGGACGTGTCCCTCCAGGAACAGATTGCGTATTCCATTGCAATAATCTATCTCTGGGATTTCAAAGTGTAGGTGGAATGCGTGGACATCTCATCTTGGTTTGGATTCTCTTAAACTTAATGATGGGTTTCTGCAATAACAACAAAACAATCCCCGCTAACAATTTCTGAATTGCCTCTGTCTCGAGCTGCTCTGGGGTTAGGGGCTGAGGTACCCAACTGTCCTGCCAAGTCCTTATGTTTATTATCTTACAAGTTTGCCTCCTTTAACTCCCGAAACACACACTCTTTTGCACAGTGGAGTCCTATAGCTCAGGGTTTAGAGCATTCGCCTCGCAAGCGAGAGACTTGGGTTTGATTCCCAATAGGCAGAAAGGTTGGGCAATTTTGGTGCCGAAACGGTGATCTAAGAGGAGTGTCTTGAGATTGGTCTTGATTGGTAAGGGATGGGGCGAAGCGGAGGAACCAGAGGGTAGAGGCAAGTTGTCTGACAATGGTGGGAAGGGCGAGGCGGGGGATGTGAAGCAGGCTGGAGCTCACTGAGCAGAGGGAGCATGCAGGTTGGTAGCGGGTTAGAAGGTTGCAGAGATAGGGGGAGCAAGTGATGGCGAGCTTTGAGGATGAGGGCCAGGTTCTTGAACTGTATCCTCTGGATGATGGGAAGCCAGTGGAGTCAAGCGAGGATGGGGTTGATATGGTCATGGAACCTGGTGCGGGAGAGAGCACGGGATGCAGAGTTCTGGATGATCTGCAGCCCATGGAGGGAAAAGTTGGAGAGGCCGACAAGTTTGTGTAGTCAAGCGTCGATGTTGTGAATGCGTGTATGAGGGTTTCGTCAGCCAGCGGTGTGAGACAGAGGCAGAGCGGAGGTGGGGAAAGGCAGAGTGGGTCATGGCATAAATGTGGGGTAGAAGAGTTAGTTGAGGGTCAAATAAGACACCAATGTTCCGGACAGGCTTAGTATGGTAGAGTCTGCATTGTTGTATGGTGATGCTATCCGCGCCTGAGGTGTAGAGGCACTAACAGGAGCCAATCAGGAGAGCCTCGGTCTTGTTCACATTCAACTGAAGTAAGTTAGTTTTCGTCCAGGACTTGATGTCTGACAGACATTCTGTCAGGACAGCAGTGGGTCCTGGAGTCAAGGGTGGAGGCCGAGAGGTAGAGTTGGGTGTCATCTGCAGACATGTGGAAGTTGATCCCATGTCTGCGGATGATGTCACCAAGAGGGAGCATATCGATATTGAAGAGCATGTAGGTGTTGAAGTACACACCATAACTGGTAATATAGAATGATATAGGCTACTATTTGTGTTGTCCTGTCGTGTAGTGTTTAGACACTTGACTTACAAGTGAGAGGACCTGCATTCAATCCCGGGCGGCTCAGGAAACTGTAGTCAAGTTTCCTTACCCCACTCACACGCCTCTGTTTACTTCACAGTAAGTAGGAACCTGCTCGTTAGTCCATTGGTGGATCGCTTTTCTGGGGGATAATATGCCTTTTAAAAAAATAATCATTTGGTCACTCAATCCACGACTGTTTGTAGGATACTGCTGTGTGCTGTTACTGCCATGTTTCGCCCACAAAATATATCGTCTGTCTACTTTACAATATATTCTGTGAAGAACTTTGTGATATCTCGATGACATGATGAGATGCTGTACCAAATACCAGGATTAAATGTATTAATTCAGCTCTCTGTGGACCGTACTAACACTAAGCCTATCTGTCTTTACAGATCACTTTTATCCCTTTGGACTGCATAACGGAGACTCCGTGACAGCGAAATCTGATGATGGTGGTTCACCCAAAATATTCCTCTCATCCAGCTTCTCATTTTTTGGACAGTGGATCTCTTCTCTCTACGTAAGTGATGTTCCCACTTCTGCAAAGGCAACAGCTCATAATATCCCGCTGCGTTTGAAACAGCGCCATATCATGTAGTTGAGACATCTCAAAGCACTTTGCGGGATTTACTGCAAAGTTGATTGACTGTATATTATGGGCAAAACATGGCAGCCAGTTTGCTGACAGTATTATCTGACTCAGAAGGATGTGGGTTCAAGCCCCACGTCGGAACTTGTAATCACATCATCTAAAATAACGTTCCAAAACAGTGCTGCGGTGTGGGGGGTGTTTTGCATTGTCGGAGGTGCCGTCCTATGTATGAAATGTTAAACTGGGCTCATGTGGATGTTACAGATCCCATGGCATTATTCAAAAATGGAAGGGAGTTTCTAACTCTCCCGGAGTATTGGTTAGAGCAGTCGCAAGCAAGAGGACGTAGTTTCGATGCCTGGGCAGGTCAAAACCTTAGACAAAGTAGTAAGGAAAAAAAACAATTGTTAGTCGATTGGTGGATCGCTTTCTGGGGAGGGATAATCCCATCAAAAAGTATAATCTATACAAATGTAATCTTCTTGTTGTTGTTTGTGGGATACTTCTGTCCGCAATTGGCTGCCGCGTTTTGCCCACCAAATATACAGTGAATTCACTTTACAGCATATTCTGTTAAGTGCATTGAGACGTCACAAAGATGCGAAAAGGCGCTATATCAAATGTTAAGATTTTTATTATTGTTATGTGATGCAGAGCCCTTCACCGCATGAGGAAGTCTGAAACCACTTGTCAGAATGCTCTGTGAATTGTCGTGACTGTGCGTTTTGTGTGGTGTGGTGTGGTGCAGGACAACTACTTGTGCGATATACATTGCCCCAACACAGCCATCTGCACCTTTGTCAACTCACACCTCGACTACTCCAATTACCCTCCTCACTGGTCTCAAGCAGTTCCACTAACCACAAACTACAACTGATTCAGAGCTCCGCCGCCTGTATTTCTCACCCACACTAAACTCCGCAGCCCCTTCACACCAGTCCGAGTCAGGCTTCCTATGACAGAACGGATCGATTTCAAGATCATCTCACTTTCTAAAAATCCCCTCACTCTCTGGCACTTGCCTACATTTTGGACCAGCTTTCTCCCTCACTTCATTATATGCTGCTGGCGCTCAGCTGGCTCTGGGCTGCTGCTTGTTCCTGGTCACCTCCACACCCCGCCGCGGTGGCAATGCTTTAAGCCAATACACCCCAAAGCTTTGCAGCTCTCTCCCCCTCAATCCCACTGTCTTGCCCAATTCTTTTCCTCTTTTAGATCACAACTGAAGACCTGCCTATGGTCACTGCCACCTTCCCCCCACTCGGCTTCAGGCTCCATCACTGTTCAGCACTCTGAGACATGCAAATGCAAGATTTTCTGTTTTGCTGCTGTTGTTGCTGGAGACGGGACTGTGACGAAATATTTGCTCTGTCCGCAGGTGAACAACAATGGGATAATTTCACTCCAAGGGTCTGTCGGACAATTCACACCTTCTCCGTTTCCCCTTGCTGACAACCGCTCATTGATCGCTCCATTCTGGGCTGATGTTAACAATGCAATTGCTGGTGAAATTTACTTCAATGAAAGCACAGAGGAGAGTGTCTTGCAGAGAGCCTCGGAGGACATAGACAACTACTTTCCTGGCCTCAATACCAGTGCACACTGGGTCTTTGTGGCGACCTGGGACCATGTGGCTTACTTCGGATCCAGTTCCCAAAAGGTATCGATGGAAACACACGGCGAGGGCGGAGAGTGAGCAGGGAATGCATTTAGTAGAAAGCTTCATTAGGAGCGCGGACACCACGACAGACACAGTGGGGGAAGTGAACATCAGCACACATACGAAGGGGGGAGAGAGAGAGAGAGAGAGAGCAGAGAATGGGATTAGAGTAGAGTCCGAGTAGGGGAGCGAGCACCAGCACAGACACGATAGGGAGAGAAAAGGGAATGTAGTTAGAATAGGGAGCTACAGTGGCGGAAGCAAGCATCAGCACAGACACCAGAGAGCAGGGAATGGGATCAGAGTAGAGAGCTACAATGGGGGAGTGTGCACCAGCACAGTTATGATGGGGAGGGGGCTAGTAGTGGGAATAGAGTGCCCTAGTGGGTGAGCGAGTGCCAGCACAGACACAGTGGAGAGAGAGCAGGGAATGGTAATAGAGCAGAGAGCTCCAGTGGGAGAGCGAGCATCAACACAACCCAAAGGGGAGAGAGCAGTGACTGGGAATAGAGCGGAGAGCTCTAGTGGGGTGGAGGGGGCAGCACCAGCACAGACACGATGCGGAGAGAGCAGGGGATGGGATTAGAGTACAGAGCTACAGTGGAGAGTGAGCACCAGAAAATACACGATCGGAGAGAGACGAGAATGGGATTGAGTAGAGAAATCCGGTGGGGACCGAGCACCAGCACACACACGATGGGGAAACTGCGATTTAACAGAATGAATCCCTCTTGTAGAGGAACACATTCCAGGCTGTCCTGATTCAATCCGGCTCACATTCCTTCATCATATTTAACTACGGAGACATTGAGTGGACTACAGGCACAGCCGGTGGTGGGAATGGAAACACAGGACTGGGCGGAACTCCAGCAGTGGTAAGAGAGGGCGATGGTGACAGTGGGGTCTGAAAAAAGCAGGGAATTTCTCTCTCCCAGTGTATTGTCCCCCAAAATAATTGCTTGTTCACATCATGGCTGTTTGTGGTGTCATTGCTGGATGTAAATTGTCCTCTGTGTTTCTACAAAACATGAGCACTCTCGCCTCTGAGTCAGAAGATTGTGAATTGAAGTGCCCAAATCACACAGACTTTGATGCTCCAGCGAAGGGCTGTGTGTGTGCAACACTGGCGCAGATGCCGTCCTTTGGATGAGACGCTCGTCCAAGCTCCCCATCTGCATGTTAGGTTGACAGTGAAGATCTCCAATTAAAAATAGAAGAAAGTATCTCTGTCCCCCCCACCACCCCACCATCCCCGGTGTTCTGACCAACAACCCCCGAAATAAAAATAAAATTGGTTGCTCACTCGGTGGATGTTTGTGGGACACCGCTGTGCGCAACTGTCTGCCGCGTTTCACAAAATACAGTCACTCGCCTTTACAGTATATCATGTGAAGGGCTTTGAAATAACTCAATGATGTGATACGGCAGTATATCAAATGTTCGGATCATTATTGTGATTGAAATAAAGAGTGGCTGCTCTTTACAGTGAATGTTGTGAAGTGCTTTGAGATGCTGTGGACGGTGCCTTGTTAAATGTGAGGATTGCTAATGTTGTCATTCACTGCAAATCCGTGAGTATCATCTCCAGATTATGTATTTATTCCAACATATCTCTCACCGGTCTCTCCAGTTCCACTATCAGCAAACAATTGGAGATGTCCTCACGTGAAAGGCGCGATGCAAATGTAGTTTGTTGTTGTTAAAGCTCCGCCACCCATATACTCACCAGCTCGAAACTCCATACCACATCACACAAGTCCTGGCCACGCTCCACTGCCTCACGATTACCAAACGGATCGACTTCAAGATCCTCACATTCGTTTTCACATTCTTTCACGCCCTGGCAACTTCCTACCTATCTGACCTGCTTATTCCGCAACCCATCGCAAAGACGTGATAAGGCGCTATAATAAATTACCATTACAATATAACCTGTAAAGAGCTTTGAGACAACTCAACAACATCATAAGGAAAATGCAAGGATTGCTGGTAAGTGCTTCAAGATGCTCTATATAAACGCAAGTTGCCTTAAAGCTCTACGCTTTGTTTGTGATAGGTTGGGTTTAACAGCGCCAATGGTTCCCTGTCTTACTTCACTGTGCCTGCGTCTGGAACAGACGAGATTGTGAATATTGAGTTGACCAGCAATGTGGGAGAGCCAGGACGCTGGGTCTTCAGGACAGATGACCTTGATGTGCCTGGAGGCTGTACCTACGAAGGTAGACACCCAAACCGTGCCATTACAGCAACTTTGAACACTCCCAGGGGATCCCAGGCTTTATAAATAGGGACGTAGATAGATTCTAGATTTGTGTACCGAGAGCTCCTAGGTTTGATTCCCGAGCGGGGCAAAACCTTAGATAAGTTTTACTAATACCTTTAAAAATTAATAGTAATTTTGTCACTCAATCCACGACTGTTTGTGGGATACCGCTGTGTGCAATTGGCCGCTTTGCATTGCTCTAAAAGTATATGGTCAATTCATTTTGCCGTATATTCTGTGAAGCGTGTTAAGATGTCTCAATGACGTGATAACGCACTGCATCAAATCAAGCATTGTTACCATTATTTATTAGTAGTAGTATTAACATCTTAAAGATCTTTTCGAAAAGAGAAGGGAGTTTATTGCTCCAGTTGTCCTGGGCAACAGTCCCACCAAAACAATTGGGTCCCTCACTCCATAACTGTTTGTGGGTCACTGCTGCCCGAGAACTCACGAACCGGTTCACGCACAAAACACAGTCGCTACACTTAACACTACATCTTGCGAAGCACTTCAAGACTTCTTGACGACCCGATAAGGCCCTGTGTCAAATGCAAGTGGTACAATCATTATCTCAGCCTCTCTCTCTCTCTCTCTCCTCTGCGGTGACAGGACGCTTTGTTCCACGCGGAGACGCGTTCTGGATGGACAGCTCATGCCGGACCAGGTGCACCTGCGAGCCGACGGACTCGCTGCGGTGCGAGCAGCAGGCGTGCGCAGCCTTCGAAGTCTGCAACCCGCTCGGCGCCTTCTACGCGTGCGAGCCGAGCCGCAGGCGGACCTGCACGGTGTCCGGGGACCCTCACTACTACACCTTCGACGGCGCTCTCTTCCACTTCCAGGGCACGTGCACCTACGTGCTCTCCGAGCTGTGCAGAAACAGCACCGGGCTGCCCTCCTACCGCGTGGAGGTGCAGAACGAGAACCGGGGCAACACGGCGGTGGCCTGGACCAGGCTGGTCCGGCTCAGCTTCGGCAACGCCAAGATCACCATGGTCAAGGGAGCCACCGACCGGGTGATGGTGAGTCACGGCACTGGGGGGGTGAGGGTCAACCACGGGCAGGGCCTGGCACCGAACAGGCATCCAACGCCACAGAGAGCCGCGGCATAGGGCAACGCAGAGACCTACAGCACAGAGCACCACAGCACAGAGAGACACAGCACAGAGCACCACAGCACATAGCGACACGACACAGAGCACCACAGCACAGAGAGACACGGCACAGAGCACCACAGCACAGAGAGACAGAGCACCACAGCACAGAGAGACACGGCACAGAGCACCACAGCACAGAGAGACACAGCACAGAGCACCACAGCACAGAGAGACACAGCACAGAGCACCACAGCACAGATAGACACAGCACAGAGTACCACAGCACAGAGCGACACGGCACAGAGCACCACAGCACAGAGAGACACAGCACAGAGCACCACAGCACAGAGAGACACGGCACAGAGCACCACAGCACAGAGAGACAGAGCACCACAGCACAGAGAGACACAGCACAGAGCACCACAGCACAGATAGACACAGCACAGAGCACCACAGCACAGAGAAACACAGCACAGAGCACCACAGCACAGAGAGACACGGCACAGAGCACCACAGCACAGAGCGACACGGCACGGAGCACCACAGCACAGAGAGCGACACAGCGCAGAGACACAGCACAGAGCGACACAGCACAGAGCACCACAGCACAGATAGACACAGCACAGAGGACCACAGCACAGATAGACACAGCACAGAGCGCCACAGCACAGATAGACACGGCACAGAGCACCACAGCACAGAGTACCACAGCACAGAGAGACAGAGCACAGAGCACCACAGCACAGAGAGCGACACAGCGCAGAGACACAGTACAGAGAGACACAGCACAGAGCACCACAGCACAGATAGACACAGCACAGAGCAACACAGCAGAGAGCACCACAGCACAGAGAGCGACACAGCGCAGAGACACAGCACAGAGCACCACAGCACAGAGAGACACAGCACAGAGCACCACAGCACAGAGAGACACAGCACAGACACACACAAATGTTTCCTCAACTCTGCTCTAAAAGGCTGACCCTTAATTTTCAGACTGTGACCCCCGGTTATAGGTTCTCCTACCGGGGGAAACAGACCCTCAGTGTCTACTTTATCAGCCCTTTAACAATCTTATATGTTTTAATAAGATCCCCCCTAATTCTTCTGTACTCCAGAGAATACAGCCCTGGTTTATTCTCCCGGGGCGGATGAAGGAGCGCGATCATTTACTGATTATTATTGCATTGCAGGTGGACGGGGTGTTCAGGCTGATCCCACTCCAGGTGAGCACCACGGCCGGGCAGATCCGGGTCCGAGCCCACGGTTTCACTGTCACGGCGAGCACGGACTCCGGGCTGGAGGTGAGCTACGACGGTTCGCACACGGCCACCGTCTCGCTCACCGACCGCTACCGAAACAACACGTGCGGTCTGTGCGGCAACATGAACGGCGACCGCTCGGACGAGTTTCGGACGCCCGAAGGAACACAGGTGGACTCCTCGGCGGAGTTCGCCATCAGCTGGAAAGCTGATGGGAACGGGACGCGGTGCCAGGATCACGTGCCGGAAACCGTCTGCAGCCCCGAGGAGCAGCTCGAGTACCGGGCGGGCGGTTCCTGCGGTTTAATGAGCCGCCTGGACGGCCCCTTTGCTGCCTGTGCTGGCGTCTTGCCAGCTGTCAGCTTCATAGACAGCTGCGTGTTTGACCTGTGCGCCACGGGCGGGTCACAGCGAACCCTGTGCCAAGCCGTGACCGCGTTCGCCACCCGCTGCCAAGACGCCGGGGTCCCTCCCAACGCCTGGAGAAGGGACGACTTCTGCGGTGAGGTTTCAACCAACACAACTTATCTCAGTGGCTCTGCAAACCCGGTGTGTGTGTGTGTGTGTGTATTACTGACCCAGTGTTCGTGTTCCTGACCCGGTATGTGGGTGTGTTATTAATCCAGTGTGTGTGTGTGTGTGTGTGTTATTGAACCGGTGTGTGTTACTGAACAGGTGTGGGTGTTATTGACCCGGTGTGTGTGTGTGTGTGTGTGTGTGTGTGTGTGTGTAGGTGTGTGTGTGTGTGTGTGTGGTGTGTGTGTGTGTGTGTGTGTGTGTGTGTGTGTGTGTGTGTGTGTGTGTGTGTGTGTGTGTGTGTGTGGTGTGTGTGTGTGTGTGTGTGTGTGTGTGTGTGTGCTGCTGATCCAGTGTGTGTTACTGGCCTGGTGTGATGTGCGTGTCTCCCTGAGCCAGTGCATGTATGTGTTTCTCTCTGTCATTGACCTGGTATGTGTGTGTGTGAATCACTGATCTAGCGTGATGGGTGCTTTTGTACATGTGTCTCTCTCCCTGTCACAGACTTGGAGTGCGTGTGTCTCACTAACCTGGTGTGTGTCTGAATGAGTCACTGACCTTGTGTGTGTGTGTGTGTGTGTCATTGACCCCGTGTATGTGTGGCTCTCACTGATGCGGGTCCACGTGTGTGTTGCAGAGATCCAGTGTCCTCCGCACAGTCATTACGAGGCGTGCGGTACCGCCTGCCCGGCGAGCTGTGCCCACTCCACCGACCCCCTGTTCTGTGCCCTGGCCTGCGTGGAGAGCTGCCAGTGCGACAGCGGATACATCCTGAGCGGGGGAGACTGTGTGCCCAGACATCAGTGCGGCTGCTCTTTCCTGGGCTCCTATTACAGAACAGGAGACCAACTGGTGACCGACACCTGCAGCCGCAGGTGCACCTGCCCGGGAGGAGGTAAGGCAAGCCACTTTTGTTGGCATACATTAGAAGAGTTGCGTGGGGTGATCCTGCCACCTTATAAATCATTGATCCAACCGCACTTGCAATACTCTGTGCATCTTTGGTCACCGCTAAATAGAAAGTATATTGCAGCCATTCAGACGATACAGAGGGGGGCAACCAGAATAACCATGAAGTAGTAATAATAATCCTTGCATTTGACATAGCGCTTTTCACGTCGGGAGGACGTCCCAAAGCGCTTCACAGAACACACTGTAAAGTGAATTGACTGTATATTTGTGAGCGAACGCGGCGGCCAATTGCGGACAGCAATGTCCCACAAACAGTCGTGGATTGAAAATGACCAATTATTATTGTTTTTTTGGAGGGATTATTATTAGGCACTGTGTGGGGTAAGGAAACTTGCCCAAGGTTTGCCTGGAATTGAACTCAGGTCTCTCACTTGCAAAGCGAGTGCTCTAACCACTGAGCTACAGGACTCTGTGCACACACATCCCAGATTAACACACACACATCCCAGAGTAACACACATATCCCAGACCAACACATACATATCCCAGAGTAACACACACACATACATCCAGAGTAAAACACACACACCCCAGAGTAACACACACACATCCGTGAGTGACAAACACACATCCTAGAGTAACACACACGCATCCCAGAGAAACACACATAGCCCAGAGTAATAATCCCTTCACTTAAAAATATTAATAAATAGGTCACTTCAATCCACAACTATTTGTAGGACACTGCTATGTGCAATTGGCTGCCACGTTTCGTAACATAACATAACATAACATAACATAACATAACATAACATAACAAAATACACCCAATTCACCTACAAAATAGAGCCAATTCATTTCACAGTGTATTCTATGAAGTGGGTTGAGACGTCTCGAAGACATGATAAGGCGCGATATCAAATGCAACGATTATTACTATTATTATTATTATGTTTCTATGAGGTCTCCCAATGACGTGTCAGAACATCACGTGCAACGAACACCAGGAATGCGCCATCCGCCATGGAGTGCGTGACTGCCACACTATCCGGACTGCCACCTGCTCTGCCTCTGGAGACCCGCATTACCGCACCTTCGATGGGCTACCGTTTGACTTCCAGGGCACCTGCCGCTACACGCTGAGCGAGCTGTGCGCCCCTGCGGCAGATCTGACTGCTTTCCGCGTGACCGTGGAGAACGAGCGGCGAGGATCGACCGCTGTTTCCTGGACCCGGCAGGTCCGCGTCCTGGTGTACGGTTATCAGGTGCAGATGACGAGAGGCGAGCGCGGCAGCGTTCAGGTAAAGGCAGCAACAGTCAAACACAAGGCGACAGTCAGACACAGACAGTCAGACATGAACAGTCACAATCAGAGAGTCAGAGGCTGACAGTCAGCGCACAGTGACAGTCAGTCACACAATGACCGTCAGTCGCACAGTGAGAGTCAGTCACACAGTGACAGTCAGACGCACAGTGACAGTCAGACAGGCGGTGACAGTCAGACAGGCGGTGACAGTCTGTCACACAGTGACAGTCAGACACACAGTGACAGTCAGTCACACAGTGACAGTCAGACAGGCGGTGACAGTCAGACACACAGTCACAGTCAGAAACACAGTGACAGTCAGACAGGCGGTGACAGTCTTACAGGCGGTGACAGTCAGACAGGCGGTGACAGTCTTACAGGCGGTGACAGACAGACACACAGTAACAGTCAGACAGGTGGTGACAGTCAGACAGGCGGTGACAGTCAGACATGCGGTGACAGTCAGACAGGCGGTGACAGTCAGACACACAGTAACAGTCAGACACACAGTGACAGTCAGACATGCGGTGACAGTCAGACAGGCGGTGACAGTCAGACACACAGTAACAGTCAGACACACAGTGACAGTCAGACAGGTGGTGACAGTCAAACAGGCAGTGACAGTCAGACACGCGGTGACAGTCAGACACACGGTGACAGTCAGACGCACAGTGGCAGTCAGACACTCAGTGACAGTCAGTCACACAGTGACAGTCAGACACTCATTGACAGTCAGTCACACAGTGACAGTCAGACACACAGTGACAGTCAGACACACAGTGACAGTCAGATAGGCGGTGACAGTCAGATACACAGTCACAGGTCCGACACACAGTGAAAGTCAGACAGGCGGTGACAGTCAGACAGGTGGTGACAGTCTTACAGACGGTGACAGTCAAACACACAGTTACAGTCAGACACACAGAGACAGACAGGCGGTGAAAGTCAGACACACAGTAACAGTCGGAAAGGCGGTGACAGTCAGACACACAGTGACATTCAAACACTGACAATCAAGTACACAGTGACAATAAGACACACGGCAACAGTCAGACACACAGTGACAGTCAGACGCACAGTTACAGTCAGACACTGACAGTCAGGTACACAGTAACAATAAGACACACGGCAACAGTCAGACACACCAGGGCAGTCAGACACACAGTGACAGTCAGACATACGGTGACAGTCAGACAAGCGGTGACAGTCAGACACACAGTGACAGTCAGACTGGCGGTGACAGTCAGACACACAGTGACAGTCAGACACACAGTGACAGTCCGACACACAGTGTCAGTCAGACAGGCGGTGACAGTCAGACAGGCGGTGACAGTCAGACACGCGGTGACAGTCAGACACGCGGTGACAGTCAGACATACGGTGACGTGACAGTCCGACACACAGTGACAGTCAGACTGGCAGTGACAGTCAGACCCACAGTGACAGTCAGACACGCGGTGACAGTCAGACGGTCAGACCCACAGTGACAGTCAGACGCACAGTGACTGATAGTTGTGAAGCTGTGTGACCGGTGTGCGATGGGTTCTGAGCTGCTGAGCCTGAGCGTGGACTCTGTCTCAATCTGTCCGCTCGCTGTTCCGCAGGTTGATGGAATAAGACAGAACCTCCCGGTGACCTTGGCATCTGGTAATATCAGGGTTCACCACAGCGGATCAGCCGCAGTGCTGGAAACGGACCTCGGGCTGCGGGTCTCCTACGACTGGTCTCACTATGTGACGGTGACTGTGCCGGGCACCTATATGGGCTCTCTGTGTGGCTTGTGCGGCAATTTCAACGGCAATGTGACAGATGAGTTCAAGTCTGCAAGCGGGGAGATGGTTAGCAGCCCCGTACTCTTTGGGAATAGCTGGAAACATGGGAACGAATCTTGCCCCGAGGAACCTGAGCTCCCTAGCCCTCAATGCACGTCAGAGCAGAGAGCTCTCTACAGCTCGGAGCAGTACTGTGGTGCCCTCATCAACGCAACTGGCCCCTTCCAGCACTGCCAATCCTCCATGCCCTCGCTGTCTGCCTTCGAAAACTGTGTGTTTGACCTGTGTGCCAGCGGAGAAGCCCTGAGTCTGTGCCAGGCGCTGGGAGCTTACGCTCTGGAATGTCAGGGCAGAGGAATCGGCATCAGCGACTGGAGGAACAGCACAGGCTGTGGTAAGCTGGCACATCATTCCCGCCTCACCATCCCATACCCCTCCCCGGAGCTGCCTGTGCACACACTGAATCTCCCAGGGTTAGGGAGATGTGTGAGAGCCAGGCTTCCTGCTTCCAGGCCCTCGACAGAGCCCTCCCCGATGGTTCGTTGTTTACCTGTGTGCGCGATTGTGCACGAGTATGTGTGTATGTAGGCGTGTGCGCATTGGTTTGTGTGCATGCGTGTCTGTATTTGTGCACGAGCGTAAGTGAGTGTGCCTGTGTGTGTGAGAGTCTGTGTGTGTGCGTCTATTTGTGTGTATTTGCACGTGTGTGCGTCTGTCTATCTTTGTTGTGTGTGTGTGTGTGTGTGTTTGTGAATGTGCATGAGTGTATCCGTGTGTATGTATGTGTGTGTGTATATCTGTGCTCCCTCCACAGACGTGGGGTAAACTGCCACATGTATGCGGACGACACCCAACTCTATTTTTCCTCTCTACCTGTGACCAGGAGTTCCTCTGCCTCCTTGTCCTCCTGGATTTCTCCACCGCTTTCGACACAGTCGATCACGCCATCCTTCTCCACCGCCTTTCCTCTGTCATCCACCTCAATGGGACCACACTTGTCTGGTTCGAGTCCTACCTGACAAACCGCCAGCAGTACATCTGCACCAACGGCTTTTCCTCCCGCTCTCACGCGGTTACCTGTGGGGTACCCCAAGGATCAATCCTTGGCCCCGTCCTCTTTCTGATCTATATGCTCCCTCTTGGGGACGTCATCCGCAGACATGGGGAACACTTCCACATGTATGCCCACGACACCCAACTCTATTTTTCCGCATCTCTTGGTGACCCCCAGTCCCCCGATGTTCTGTCTCAGGAGCTGGATAAGCGTGAATTTCCTTCAGCTGAACGTTGACAAGACGGAAGCCATACACTTTTACTCTTGTCAAAGTCTTAAATCACACGGTTCTCACCACCTCTACCAACCCGACCTCCCCCTAAAACCCTCCGAACCCATACGCAAACTAGACATCAGGTTCGACCCCTAATTATCCTTCCTCCCCCACATGTGTGTCCTGTAGCTCAGTGGTTAGAGCACTCGCTTTGCAAGTGAGAGACATGAGTTCAATTCCAGGCAGAGGGCGAAACCTCGGGCAAGTTTCCTTACTCCACACAGAGCCTAATAATAATCCCTCCAAAACAAAAACAATAATAAATTGGTCATTTTCAATCTATGACTGTTTGTGGGGCATTGCTGTGCGCAATTGGCTGCCGCGTTTGCCCACAAAATATACAGTCAATTCCCTTTACAGTGTGTTCTGTGAAGCGCTTTGTGACGTCCTCCCGACGTGAAAAGCGCTATATCAAATGCAAGGATTATTATTATTATTATTATCCGGTCCTTCACCAGCACCGCTTTCTTCCACCTCCGTTGCATTACCCGTCTCCGCCAATACCTCTCTCCGAAAGCCGCTGATATCCTGGTCCATGGCTTTGTCACCTCTCGGCTGAACTATTCAAATGCCCCCCTCACCGGCCTCCCCTCCACTACCACTCCACAAAATCCAGGTCATCCAGAGCTCTGCCGCCCGCATTCTCACCCGTACCAAACCCCACTCCCTGATCACCCCAATCCTGGCCAGATTGCACAGGCTGACTGTCCCAGAGAGGATCGACTTCAAGATCCTCAATCTTCTTCTAACCTCTCCACTCCTCTGCACCGCCACACCCCCCACCCTACCTTTCTGATCTCCTCTTTCCTCACAACAGTGCTGCCCATTGCCTTAGCTCCACCGGGTCTGGCCTCCTCCTGGTCACCCGAGTCTTCCGCTCCACCATCAGAGGCCATGTCATAAGCCACTACGCCCGGAGGCTCTGGAACTCCCTTCCTCACTCCCTTCGCCTCGCTCTTCACTCTTCCTATTTTCAGGTCTCGGCTGAAGGCCTTTCTTTTCAACCGCGCCTTTGGTCACGTTCCTCTCCCTCCCACTGGTTCGGCCCCGGGATCTGTTATCGTGAGACGCCATCCGGCATGGAGAGCGCTATATTAGTCCAAGTTGTTGTGTTACGTGTGTCTGTGTGTGTCAGAGTCTGTGCGTGTCTTTGTGTGCGTGTGTGAGTCTATGTGTGTGAGTGTGACTCTCCCGCAATAGTGACTCTGGTTTTCGTGCAGGTCTGGAATGCCAAGAGAACAGTGACTACCAAGTGTGTGGTACCAGTTGCCCGGCCTCGTGCTCCCGGCCCGGTTTCCCGGCAGATTGCGGCACGCCGTGCCAGGAGGGCTGCCAGTGCCTGGACGGTTACGTGCTGAGCGCTGGACGGTGCGTGCCACCGGCCCAGTGCGGCTGCCTGCACCGCGGCCAGTATCGGACGCCGGGCGAGAGTTTCTGGGAGGACGAGGCGTGTCGGAGCCGGTGCGTGTGCGAGCCGGGCAGCGGGCGTGTGCGGTGTCGGGCCGACGCCTGCCAGGAGCACGAGGCGTGCCGTGTGGTCAACGGGCGCAGACGGTGCGTCCCCTCGGCAGCCGTCTGCGTGGCCACGGGAGATCCCCACTACCGCACGTTCGATGGGCGGCGGTACGACTTCCAGGGAGCCTGCACGTACGTGCTGGTCACGGCGTGCCGGGGGGCTCGGGATGCGCCCCAATTCCGGGTAGAAACGCACAACCGGGAGATACCTGGCAGGAGCGTGGCCCTGGTGGATCGAGTCGCTGTCGTCGTCTATGGGCACGAGATTCTTCTGTCCAGAGACTCGCTCGGCCGTGTCAAGGTACTGAGGCCCCTCACCCTCACCCTCACCTCCCGTTGCCCTCACCGCCCCTCACCTCCCATTGTCCTCACCTCCCATTACCCTCTCCTCCCCTCACCAACCATTGCACTCACCTCCCCTCACCTCCCATTACCCTCTCTTCCCCTCACCTCCCATTGCACTCACCTCCCCTCACCTCCCATTACCCTCTCCTCCCCTCACCTCCCATTGCACTCACCTCCCCTCACCTCCCATTACCCTCTCCTCCCCTCACCTCCCATTGTACTCACCTCCCCTCAACTCCCATTACCCTCTCCTCCCATTGCACTCACCTCCCCTTACCTCCCATTACCCTCACTTCCCCTCACGTTCACCTTCCCTCACCATCGCCTCCCCTCACTGTCAACTTCACCTCCCTTCGCCATCATCGCCACCATCACTTCCCTTCACCCTCACCTTCCATAACCCTCACCTCCCATCACCTTCACTGTCACCTCCTCTTACCATCACCTCCGCTTACCATCAGGTTCACCTCCCCTCACCTGCACCTCCCTCAACATTTCCTTCACCCCCCTCACCTCCTCTCACCCTCACCTTTCCTCTGCCTTATCTTCCCTCACCAGCACCTTCATCTCCCCTCACCCTCACCTCCTCACACCCTCAACTCTGTTCACCTCCTCGGTCCCTGCCCTCAACTCCCCATCCCCATCTGCCTCTCCTCCCCTCCACTCCCTTCATCTCCCCTCACCTCCACTCTCCCTCACCTCCCCTAACCTACACTCCCTTCTCCCTTACCTCTGCTCACCCTCCCTCACACTCCCCTCAACTCAACTCCATTCCACTCTCCCTCAACACCGCTCGCCTCCATTCCCCTCTCCCTTACCTCTCCCTCCCCTCCCCTCTGCCTCACCTCACCTCTCCCTCAACTGCCCTCTCCCACACCTCCCTTCACCTTCCCTCTCCCTTACCTCCCCTCACCTGCCCTCTCTCTCTCCATCTCTATCCACTCCACTCCCTTCACCTCCCCTCTCACTTACCTCCCCTCATCTTCCCTCTGCTTCACCTCCCCTCCCCCTCACCTCCCCCTCACGACCCTTAACATCTACTCACTTATCTCCCCATCCCCCTACCCTCTGCCTCAACTCCCCTCTATCTCACCTCGGCTCACTTCCCCACACCCTTCCTCACCCTTCCCTCAACTCACCTCCACTCCTCTCTACCTCAATTCCACTCACCTCTACTCCCCATTCCCTCCCCTCCCCTCTCCCTCATCACCCAAACTACACTCCCATCTCCCTCCCCTCCCCTCTGCCTCAATTCCCTTCTGTCTCACATCCATTCACCTCTCCACACCGTCCCTCACCCTCCCCTCAACTCATCTCCACTCCCCTTTCTCTCATCTCCCCTCACCTCTCCCTCACCTCCCCTACACCTCCCATCACCTCCACTCTCCCTCTACTCAACTCACCTCCTCTCCCTTCCCTTCTCCCTCACCTCCCTTCACCTCACCTTCCCTCTACCTCATCTCACCTCCCCTCAACTTGCCTCCTCTTCCCTCGCTTCTCCCTCCCCTCACCTCTGCTCTTCCTCTCCTCCGCTCCCATCCCCTCACCCTATTCTCCCCTCTCCCTCACCTCCTCACCCCTTTCCCTAATCTCTCCTCACATCTCCTCCCTCACCTCTCTTCACCTCCCCTGTCCCTCAACTTCCCTCTCCCTATGCATCTGCCTCCACACCCTTCACCTCCCCTCCCCTTCACTTCCCCTCAAATCCCCTCTCCCTCAACTCCCCTTTCCCTCAACTCCATGCACCCTCATCTGCCCTCATCTTCCCTTCCCTCCCCTCCCCTCTCCGTCACCTCAAATTCCTCCACACTCCCCTCCCCCTCACCTCCTATCACCTCTTCCTCACATCCCTTCTACTTACCCTCCTCCTGCCCTTCCCCTCATTTCCATTCCCCTCACCTCCCCCCTCTCTCTCCTCCCCTCATCTCCACTCCCCTTCACCTACCCTCACCCCCAACTCTACCTCACTTCCCCAAACCTTCCTCTCACCTCTCCTTCACCTCCCCTCACCCTCCGCTCTCCCTCACCTCCCCCTTCCTCACCTCCACTCACCGCATCCCTCTGCTCACCTCCCCTCACCCTCATCTCACCTTACCCTCACCTCGTCTCACCTCAGGTGAGATGTTCATTGCAGATTACTGTTCTATCTGAAGGCACCAAATTATTAATTATTAATAATTAATATCTATTTGTATAGCACCCGTATACAGAGTGGCTGTAGTGCTTGACATTGGTGGAGCACGAAGCCAAGATGGGGAGAGGTCAACGGTTGACCGTATGCACCATTGAAGATAAACGTCTTCGTGGCTGACTTGAAGAAGGGGCAAAGTATAAGGATTGAGGGAGCGTTTCGGGGTGTAGAGGCTGAAAGTGTGTCCGCCGATGGTGCAGCTGAGAGTTACAAGGGACAAATAGGTGAAGGGAGTCGGTCAACCGGAGGCAGCGAGTAGTGGGTTGGGCTCTGAGCAGGTCAGAGAGGTAGGGAGTCGCCTGGGTATGAAGGGATTTGAAAATGAGTGTAAGGATCTTGAAGTTGATCCGTTCAGTAATGAGAATGGTGTTTCTCCGCAGGTGGACGGTCTGTATGCGAATCTCCCCTGGAGTCGGGCCGAGGGTGGACTGACGGTGTTTCGCGCTGGTCTGTACACTCACGTGCGGACTGACTTTGGCCTGGAGGTCGGATACGATTTGCGTCACCACGTGTGGGTGTCTCTGCACCGCCGGTTTGCCGGCCGGACCTGCGGGTTGTGTGGCAACTACAACGGGCTGCCAGCCGACGATTACATCACCCCCAACGGCACCCTGGTCAGCAGTCTCCACGCCTTCGCCTCCTCCTGGAAGGCCAACGTGACAGAGCAGTGTGAGCATGGCTGTCAGGGTGGTTCCTGCCCCGTGTGTGAGCACCCCCAAACTTACTCCGGCTCGCAGTTCTGTGGGATTATCAGCCATGCCAACGGACCCTTCGCGGCTTGTCTCTCCCGGCTGGATCCTGCCCCGTACCTACAGGACTGTGTGTATGACGTGTGCTTGGCTCAGGGTGATCGTGAGACTCTCTGCCAGTCCCTCCAGGCCTTTGCCAGTGCCTGCCAGGCCCTCAATGTGTCCCTGTCACCGTGGAGGAACGACTCCTTCTGTGGTAAGTCCCAGGCTCTACTCTACAACATGCATGTCAGCCCGGCTCTGTGTGTGTGTGTGTGTGTGTCAGCCCGGCTCAGTGTGTGTGTGTGTGTGTCAGCCCGGCTCTGTGTGTGTCAGCCCGGCTCAGTGTGTGTGTGTGTGTGTGTCAGCCCGGCTCAGTGTGTGTGTGTGTGTGTCAGCCCGGCTCTGTGTGTGTCAGCCCGGCTCAGTGTGTGTCAGCCCGGGTCAGTGTGTGTCAGTCCCGGTCAGTGTGTGTCAGCCCGGCTCAGTGTGTGTCAGCCCGGGTCAGTGTGTGTCAGCCCGGCTCAGTGTGTCAGCCCGTCAGTGTGTGTCAGCCCGGGTCATGTGTGTGTGTCAGCCCCCGGGTCAGTGTGTGTCAGCCCGGCTCAGTGTGTGTCAGCCCGGCTCAGTGTGTGTGTCAGCCCGGGTCAGTGTATGTGTCAGCCCGGCTCAGTGTGTGTGTGTCAGCCTCGGTCAGTGTGTGTCAGCCCGGGTCCGTGTGTGTCAGCCCGGCTCAGTGTGTGTCAGCCCGGGTCAGTGTGTGTCAGCCCGGGTCAGTGTGTGTCAGACCGGCTCATTGTGTGTCAGACCGACTCAGTGTATGTCAGCCTGGGTTAGTGTGTGTCAGCCTGCCTCAGTGTTTGTCAGCCCGGCTTAGTGTGTGTCAGCCCGGATCATTATATATTAGCCCGGCTCAGTATGTATCAGCCCAGCTCAGTGTGTCAGCGTGACCCAGTGCGTGTCAGCCCGGCTCAGTATGTATCAGCCTGGCTTAGTGTGTGTCAGCCCGGCTCAGTGTGTGTCAGCGCGGGTCAGTGTGTGTCAGCCCGGCTCAGTGTGTGTCAGCCCGGGTCAGTGTGTGTCAGCCCGGCTCAGTGTGTGTCAGCCCGGCTCAGTGTGTGTCAGCCCGGCTCAGTGTGTGTCAGCCCGGCTCAGTGTGTGTCAGCCCGGGTCAGTGTGTGTCAGCCCGGCTCAGTGTGTGTCAGCCCGGCTCAGTGTGTGTTAGCCCGGCTCAGTACGTGTGCTGCGTAAACGTGAGTTGCTGCCGGCTGTGTGAGCTTCATTCTCGCCCTGTGAACGTTGGATTAATACTTCCTGTTGTCCTCTCTGCAGGTGTGGCCTGTCCTGAGAACAGTCACTATGAGGTGTGCGGCGAGCGCGACATTAATAGGTGTGTCAGTCTCCCCACGAACACCTCCTCTGCTCCCTGTGCCGAGGGCTGCTTCTGTGACCATGGCTTCAGGTTGAGTGGAGAGCATTGTGTGCCCTCCACAGACTGTGGCTGTGTGCACAACGGCCTATACCTGCAGGTATGTTTGTGTGTTTGTGCGTGTGTGTGTGCGTGGGGGGGGTGTGTGGGAGGGAGTCTGACGACGTGTGGCTGTGTGGATATGGGTATGGTTATAGCTGTGTGTGATTGTGTGTGTGGGGGTGGGGTGGGTGTTGGTGGTGTCACTGTGTGTGACTGTGTGTGTATGTGTTGGGGTGGGGGGTGTGTGAGTGACTGTGTGTGTTCGTGTGTGAGAGAGACTGTGTGTGTGGCTATTTGTGTTTGTAGTGTGTGTATTTTGTATTGTGTGTTGTATGTATTGGTGTGTATGTTTGTATGTAGGGATGTGTGTATATGTGTATGTCGGGGGTGGGGTTTGTATGTTGGGGTGTGTGTTTATGTCATGGAATGTGTGTGTATACATGTCGTGGTTTGTTTGTGTATGTCGACAGGGTGGAGGGTGTATGTCGGTGGGGTGGACGGTGTATGTCGACAGGGTGGAGAGTGTATGTCAGCAGGGTGGAGGGTGTATGTCGGTGGGGTGGACGGTGTATGTCGACAGGGTGGAGGGTGTATGTTGGGTGGGTGGAGGGTGTATGTCGGCAGGGTGGAGGGTGTATGTCGGCAGGGTGGAGGGTGTATGTCGGCAGGGTGGAGGGTGTATGTCGGCAGGGTGGAGGGTGTATGTCGGCAGGGTGGAGGGTGTATGTCGGGTGGGTGGAGGGTGTATGTCGGCGGGGTGGACGGTGTATGTCGGCAGGGTGGAGGGTGTATGTCGGCAGGGTGGAGGGTGTATGTCGGCAGGGTGGAGGGTGTATGTCGGCAGGGTGGAGGGTGTATGTCGGCAGGGTGGAGGGTGTATGTCGGCAGGGTGGAGGGTGTATGTCGGCAGGGTGGAGGGTGTATGTCGGCAGGTGGGAAGGTGTATGTCGGCAGGGTAGGGTGTATGTCGGCAGGGTGGAGGGTGTATGTCGGCAGGGTGGAGGGTGTATGTCGGCAGGGTGGAGGGTGTATGTCGATGGGTTGGAAGTTGTACGTTATGGTGTGTGCAGGTTAAGTGAGTGTATGTCGGGTGGGTTGGTGCTGTATGCTAAAGTGGGTGTATGTCGGGGTGTGTGGTTGTTGGGTGTGTGTACATGTCAGGGGTGTTTATGTCTTGGGTGTAGGTGTCAGGATGTGAAGAAGAGAAGGGTCTTGAGGTGGGTCATGAAGGTGGCGAGGGAGGGGGCGAGACGGAGGGAATGAGGGATGGAGTTCCAGAGGGTGGAGGCAGAGTGGCGGAAGGCCCGCCTGCCAATAGTGGGGCAAGCAAAGCGGGGGACGTGAAGAAGGCTGGAGCCCACTGAGCGGAGTTAGCGAACAGTGGCGTAAGGTGTTAGGAGGTCGGAGACGTAGGGGAGAGCAAGATCATGGAGGGCTTTGAAGGTGAGGACCAGACTCTTGCACAATATCCTCTGTGTGATGGGAAAACAGTGGATTTGGGCAAGAATGGGGGTGATAAGGTCGTGGAGCTTGGTGCGGGAGAGGACACGGGCTGGCGAATTCTGGATGATTCGCAGCCTGTGGAGGGAGGAGTTGGGGGTGGGGGAGGAGGTGGAGTGTGTGCAACTATGGATGGTGATGCTGTCAGTGCCTGAGATGAGGAGGCGTTAGCGGGAGCCAAAATCAGGCGAGCCTCGGTCTTGTTGATGCTCAATTGAAGAAAGTTAGCTCTCATCCGGGACTTGATGTCTGACAGACATTCTGTCAGGACAGCAGTGGGTCCTGGAGTCAAGGGTGGAGGCCGAGAGGTAGAGTTGGGTGTCATCTGCAGACATATGAAATTTGACCCCATGTCTGCGGCTGATGTCACCAAGAGGGAGCATATCGATATTGAAGAGGAGGGAACCGAGGACAGAGCCCTGAGGAATGCTACACGAGACTGTGCAGGTGCTGGAGGAGAAGCCGTTTGTGGAGATGAACTGGAGACGGTGTGAGAGTGTGCACATATGTCAGGTGTGTCAGTGTGCACAGGTGGGACAGTGCTGAAACAGGGTTGCCCGTCATGTTGATGGTGTGTGTGTGTGTGTGTGTGTATACAGATGGGACAGTCGGTGCTGAACCAGGCATGTACGGAGCGTTGTCAGTGTCACGCCGGAGGTGCGGTGGAATGCGTGCCATTGCTGTGTAATGCTGGCCAGGAGTGCGGAATAAGGAATGGCCAAATGGGCTGCCATGACACCTTCTCCATCTGCGTGGTGACTGGCGACCCCCACTACTTCAGCTATGATGGGGCCCTCACCCACTTCCAGGGCACGTGTGAGTACCAGGTGTCTGCCGTGTGCCACAACCTCACATTACCATGGTTTCGCATCACCACCGAGAACCGCAACCGTGGAAACAGTCTCGTCTCCTTCATCTACCGTGTCCACGTCTACCTGACTGGCCTTCACCTGCAGATCACAGGCCGGGCTGTCACGGTAAGTCTGTGTGACACACACACGCGCTCACAGCTGGACCTCACCTTCAAAGCCCTCCATGAACTTTCTCCTCCATACTTCCATGTCCTCCTAACCCCGTACAAACCTGTCCGCTCCCTCCGCTTAGTGCTGCTTCACTTTCCCCTCCTTACTCACAGTCGGGCGAGACTTCAGCCTCTCTGCCACAAATCTCTGGAACTCCATCCCACAGTCCCTCCACCTTGCCCCTTCTCTTGTCTCCTTCAGGGCCCATTTCAATACACTTCTCTTTGACTTTGCTTTCCGTGATCCACCTACCCGTACTTTCACCCTCCACCCCTCCTGATCCCAACCACCTGCTCATGTGCAGATCTCTGACTGCCCAATGCCTTGGGACATGTCTCCCGACATGAATGGCGTTGTGCAACTGTAATTTGTTGTTGATATTTTTGCGTCACACACACTCTCTCACACACAAACACACACAAATTGAATTGGATCTCTGTGTTTCACACACACTCACACACAAACACGCACAAATGGAGTTGGATCACTGTGTCACACATGGAGCAGGGTCTCTGGGTGTCTCACACACACCTACACATGGAGTTCGGCCTTCGTGTTTCACGCACACACATATACACAAGGTACTGGGTCTCACTGTGTGACCACTGCAACACCGCACTATTTTGTTTTCCTACACCCATCCATTCCCCTTTCCTACACCCCTCTATTCCCCTTTCCTGCACCCTGCTATTCCCCTCTCCTACATCCCTCTATTCCTTTCTCTTACACTCCTCTATTCCCCTCTCCTACACCCCTCTAATCTCCTTTCCTCCACCCTGCTATTCCCCTCTCCTGCATCCTTCTATTCACCTATCCTATATCTCTCTAATCCCCAATCCTATACCTCTCTATTCCCCTCTCCTACACCTCTCTAATCACCTCTCCTACACCACTCTATTCCCCTCTCCCACAGTCACCTATTTCCTCTCCTGAACGCCTCTATTCCCCTCTGGTGCACCCTTCTATTTCTCTTCTCCTACACCCCTCCTCACCACCTCAATGCTGCACTATAATGGTCACCACGCTCGCCTCGCAAGCAGGGGGACCCAGATTTGAATCCCATGGGGACAGAGCGGAACATTGTGCAAGTTACCTTGCAGAAAGTAGGAACCCGCTTGTTAGTCGATTGGCGGGCGGGTCGCTTTAAGGAGGCAATAATCTCTCCAAAACAAAAATAATTTGGTCAGTCAATCCATCACTGTTTGCGGGATACTGCTGTGCATAATTCGCTGCCACGTTCCACCCACAAAATGTACAGTCAATTCACTTGACAGTATATTACGTGAAGAGCTTTGAGATGTCTCAAAGTGGATGGGAGGGGAGTGTAACCCTTTGTGTGTTGTGGGGGAGTGCAACCCTCTGTGTATGTGTGTTGAGGGAGGAGTGTGGTAACCGTGTGTGTGTGTTGGGGGAGAGAGGGTAACCCTCCCCGTGTGGGGTTGGGGAGTGTAACCCTTTGTGTGTGTTCGTTGGGGGGAGGGGGAGCGTGACCCTCTCTGTGTTGGCGGTTGGCGAGTGTAAAAACTTTTTTTCTATTTGGGTGGGGACTGTAATCCGCTCACTGGGAAGGGGCTGTGTTACAAACCTATGGTGGTTTCTCAGGTGGGGGGGCAGCCTGTGTCATTGCCCGCCTTTCCCTCCTTGGGGGTGTCGGTGTTGGTGAGGGATGGGACTGTGGTGGTGCAAGTGGGTGATAACCTGGAGGTACGTTATGATGGAGCGAGCACTTTGCTGTTGCGGGTGGCTCAGAGCTATGCGGGGACGCTGTGTGGGCTGTGCGGCAACTTCAATGGCAACCCGGCTGATGACAAGCTCCTGCCAGACGGACAACCCGCCAGCAATGATACCCACCTCGGCAACTCCTGGAGAGCAGAGGGCGGCAGCTCCCAGTAAGTTCATCAAAATCGCTCAGCGTTTCGGGTGATCATATTGTGTAAAAGTTAAATAATGGGGATACATATATCGCTGTTCGAGCACTCGCTTTAAGCCCTGGGTTTTATTTCTGACAGGGTGAAATCTTAGGCAAGTTTCCTTATTCCACTTCCATTTAAATAGCAGTAAGTAGAAACCCGTTTGTTAGTCGATTGGCGGATCACTTTCTGGAGCAGTGATACATTAGAAATAAAACCAAATGCATGGCTATCTGTAGGACACTGCTGTACGCTATCCATTGCCGCATTGCTCCCACAAAATACAATCAATTTGCTTTACTGCAGTGGATCGGGTAATAATCCCTCCAAAGCAATAAATAAGTAAAGGAATTTGGTCACTCCACCACTGATTGTGGGGCACCTACTGTGCACAATTGGCTGCCCGTTTTGCCCATAAAGCACACTGTTTCTATCCTTAACAATATAAGCGCTCTAAGGCGTCTTGACCACGTTATAAGCTGCTATAAGAAAAGGTTTATCATATATATACGATTAGGTGTGAAAGGCGTCAGGAGTACATGAATGTAATCTGTTGTGCAAACCTCTGTTGTTGTTCGTCCCCCTTCAGATGTGAAGAGGCAGAGAGCAGAGAGAGTGAGTGCACAGATCCCCCACCTGGCCACCGGCACCCACTCTGTGACGTGCTGACGGCAGACCCCGGACCCTTCGCCCAGTGCCATTGGCAGGTGGACCCACGACATTACTACACGTCTTGTGTGTTTGACACGTGTGCCTATGGCATGGACCGCCTGACCCTGTGCCGTGCTGTGGGCGCCTACGCCGCTGCGTGCGCTCTACACGGCTTCCAGGTCTCCAGCTGGAGGAACGCCACCGACTGCCGTGAGTTCACCGTTTGACTCCCGTCCGGAATAATGTAAGAGCATTAAAATCGCTGGACGAAAGAAGACCAAGGTCAATCCAGTTCGCCTTCCACCGTCCTGGCAGTTGCACACACGTGTCATGTCCCAAACTACATACTGTATCCCCAGGTATATAGTTTGGGTCCAAATGTGTGGTGTCCTGTAGCGTAGTGGTTAGCGCACTCCCCTCACAAGCAAGAGGACCCAGCTTCGAGTCCTGTCGGGTGAAACCATAGGCAAGTTTGTTTGCTCCACAATCAACTCACTTTACTGCGGTGGATCGGGTAATAATCCCTCCAAAACAATAAATAAGTAAAGGAATGTGGTCACTCCACCACTGTTTGTAGGGCACGACTGTGCACAATTGGCTGCCCGTTTTACCCATAAAACACACGGTTGCTATCCTTTACAATACAAGCGCTAAAAGGCGTCTTGACGACGTTATAAGCTGCTATAAATAAAAAGGGTTACCAAGCACTTAGTAGGAACCTGGTTGTCAGTCATCTGTCTGATCACTTTCCAGGGGTACAAATCCCATCAAATAAATAATAACAACAAAAGTGATTTGGTCACTCAATCCCAATGTTTCTAGGATACTTCTGTATGCCATTGGCTGCCACTTTTCGCCCAGAAACGACACAGTGAATTCACTTTACACCGTATTCTGTAAAGCGCTTTAAGACCAACTCAATGACGGGTTAGGGCACTCAATCAAAATTATTGTAGTGTTTTTTAACAGAAATCTATCACTTACATTCTCTTCTCCAGTGCGAACATTCCCAATTTATCTAATTGCTCCTCATAGTCCAGTTCCTCCATCCACTCCACCATTCTGGCTGCCCTACTCTGTATCCTCTCAATTAATGCAATATCCTCTTCATACTGTGGTGATCAGAACTGCACGCAGTATACCCCCCCCAACCCCCCACCCCACCACTCCGCCCCCACTTCCCACGCAAACACCACCAACTCTGACCATGTATCTTTAGTGTATGTGTGTGTGTGAATCTGTTAAGGTGATTGTATCTAATGCCTCTCTGTGTACCTCCAGTGTGACATGTCTAATGCCTGTCTATGTGTACCTGTGTGTGGTTGTGTGTGTATGTGTAGGGTCCGGTGTCTCACACTCGTATATCTGTGTCCTGTGTCGGTGTGTGTGACTGTGTGTGTGTGTCTGTGTACCTGTGTGTGTGTGCACTTGTGTGCGTGAGTGTCTGTGTGTTTGTGTGCACCTGTGGGTTTGTGTGCACCTGTGTGCTTGTGTGTGTGTGTCTGTATGTGTGTGCCTGTGTGTATGTGGGCGTGCTTTGTTTGTGTGCATGCCTGTGTGCTTGTGTGTGCGTCTGTGTGTGCGCGCCTGTGTGCATGGGCCTGTATGTGTGCATGCGTACCTGTGTGTTTGTGCATCTGTGTGCGTGTCTGTGTGTGTACACATGTGCCAGAGTGTGCCTGTGTATGTGTGTGTGCACATGTGTGTGCACTTGTGTGTGTATACCTGTGCGCACATGCGTGTGCACGTCCTCGGGTGCGTGCATATGTGTTTTTGTAAGTGTGTGTACCTGTGTGTGTACATGTGTGTGTGTACCTGTGTGTACATGTGTGTGTGTGTACCCGTGTGTGTGTGCATGTGTGTCAAGGTGATCCCTAATGCCTTCGTGTGTGTCAGGATGAGATGTCTAACACCTCTCTCTATGTTCCTGTTTGTGTGTGAATATGTGTAAGAGTGATTTGCCTGACAATTGCTTCTGTACCTCTGTGTGTGCCTCTGTGTGAGCCTCTATGGTCCCTCTGTGTGTGTGTGTGTGAGTGTGTGTGTGTGTGTGTGTGTGTGTGCGTGTATGCCTGAGTGCCTGTTTGTGTGTTGGTGTTTGTGTGAGTGTGTGCATGTGTCTGTGTGCATGTGTGTGCACATGTGTACCTGCTTGTGTGCCAGGGTGATGCCTAACTGTTGTGTGTGTTGTGTGTCAGGGTGAGGTGTCTAACACCTGTCTCTGTGTACCTGTTTGTGTGTGAGTGTGTAAGGGTGAGGTGTCTGACACTTGTCTGTGAACCTGTGTGTGGGTGTGTGTCTTTGTGTGTGTGTGTGTGTCTTTCTGCCTACGTGTATGTGTGCCTGTACCTGTATGCGTATGCACCTCCTTCTGCCTCCGTGCATGCACCTGCACGCATGCGCCTGCGTACACACCTGTCTACCTGTCTGTGTACCTGTGTGTGCACCTGTGCGTGTGTGTGCACTTGTGCGTGTGTGCACCTGTGCGTGTGTGCACCTGTGCGTGTGCACATGCATGCGGGTGCATGCTTGTGTGTGCGTGTATGCATGCGCATGCATCTGTGTGTCAGGGTGAGGTGCGTAACACCTGTCTCCCTGTTTAGCTGAGACTGACCCATGCGATGCCATGAACTGCACTGAGGACGAGTGGTGTGGTGACAGACAAGGGCTGATCGGCTGTTACTGTGCTCACACTCACAATGAGACCCAGCTCCGCACCTTCGGTAAGTGTTAACGGCACAAACTGCCCAGAGTAACACGCACACTCAGCCCAGAGTAACACACGCATGCACCCCAGAGTAACGCACGCGTGCACTCCAGAGGAACGCACGTGCGCACCCCAGAGTAACGCACGCAGCCCAGAGTAACACACACTATTCACACAGTAACATGCACACACATATCCCAGAGTAATACACAGAAATCCCAGAGTAAAACACACACACATACATCGCAGATTAATGCACACTCATCCCAGATTAGCACAAACACATCCCAGAGTAAGACACCCACACACACACATCCCAGAGTAGCACACATATCCCAGACCAACACACACATATCCCAGAGTAACACACACACATACATCCAGAGTAAAACACACACACCCTAGAGTAACACACACACATCCGCGAGTGACAAACACACATCCTAGAGTAACACACACACATCCCAGAGAAACACACACATCCCAGAGAAACACACATAGCCCAGAGTAACACACATAGCCCAGAGTAACACACACAGCCCAGAGTAACGCACACGCCCACATCCCAGAGTTTCATAGAATCGTACAGCAGAGAAGGAGGCAATTCGGCCCGTATCTGTGTCGGCTCTGTGAGAAGAGCTCTCCAAATCAATCCCACTCCCCGCTCTCTCCTGTAGCCCCGCAAACTTGTCCTCCCAAATAATTATCTACTTCGCTCTTAAAAGTTGTTATCGAATCGGCTTCCACCGCCCTTTCAGGCAACGCATTCCAGATCCCAACAACTCGCTGTGTGAAAAAAAATGCTCCCCTCACTCCCCTCTGCTACACCCTCCCCAACACCTTCTCCCACCCCAGCCCCTACCTATCCCTCCCTCTCCATCTTAGAACCTGTCTCCCCTCCTCTCTCATCACCACTATAACAACAACAACAAGGTTCCATTTATAGAGCGCCTTTCACGTCGAGAGGACGTCCCAAAGCGCTGGTCCTGGAGTCAGCGGTGGAGACAGAGGGGTAGAGTTGGGTGTTATCTGCATATATGTGGAAGTTGACCATATGTCAACAAGAGTGAGCATACAGATATTGAAGAGGAGGGGACTATGAAACTGACCTCTTGCTCCCGGGATCCCATCCCTACCCCTCTCCTTTGCATCCCAGCTCCACCTCCTTGCCCTTCTACTCACTGACATCATTAACCTCTCCCTGTCCTCTGGTACTGTTCCCAACCAATTAAAAACTGCCATCATCACCCCTATCGTTAAAACCTCTCCTCCCCTTTGATCCCAAACTACCGTCCCATCTCCAACCTCCCGTTCCTCTCCAAGGTCCTGGAATGAGTTGTTGCTTCACAGCTTCGCTTCTTCCTCTCCCGCCACTTGCCTTTGCGAACCCCTCCAATCTGGCTTCCGCCCTGAAACCGCCCTGGTCAAAGTAACGAATGATATTCTGTCCATCGGCAACCAGGGCTCTCTCTGCTTCCTTGTTCTCTTTGACCTCTCTGCTGCTTTAGATCATGTCCACCACTCTATCCTCATCCGCCGCCTCCCCTCTCACCTCAGCCTTCACGGCTCTGTCCTTGACTGGCTCAGATCATACCTCTCATACCGCCTCCACTTCATCTCCACAAATGGCTTCTCCTCCAGCACCTGCACAGTCTCGTTCAGTGTTTCTCGGGGCTCTGTCTTGGTCCCCTCCTCAGAGTGAACAGAGTATATCTATATACTCACTCTTGTTGATGTATGGTCAACTTCCACGTGTATGCAGATAACACCCAACTCTACCCCTCTGTCTCCACCCTTGACTCCAGGACCCACTGCTGTCCTGACAGAATGTCTGTCAGACATCAAGTCCTGGATAAGAGCTAACTTTCTTCAGTTCAACGTCAACAATACCGAGGCTCTCCAAGTTGGCTCCCGCCAGCGCCTCCTCACCTCAGGCACTGAACGCATCACCATCCATGGTTGCACCCACTCCACCTTGCTAAGCCAGTCCAGAACCTTGGGGTCTTATTTGACCCTCAACTACCCTTTCTACCCCACACCTGCGCCATGATCTGCTATGCCTACCCCCACCTCCACAACGTCGCCCGGCTCCGACACTGTCTCACGCCGCAGGCCACCGAAACTCTCATAAACGCCATCATTACGTCCAGGCTCGACTATACAAACTCTTTGCTTGTCGGCCTCCCAATTCCTCCCTCCACAGGCTGCAATCATCCAGAACTCTGTAGCCCATGGCCTCTCATGCGTTCGGCTCCGTGACATTATCACCCCCATCCTCGCCCAACTCCACTGACTTCCCATCACACAGAGGATACAGTTCACGATCCTGGTCCCCAAGGTTTTGCTTTCCCCTACCTCTGCGACTTCCTAACACCCTACCACCCTGCTCACTCACTCCACTCAGTGTGCTCTGGCCTGCTCCACGTCCCCCGCATCGTTCGACTATTTTAGATTGGTGTCCTCGGGTTACCGACCCACACGGCAGTGGAAATAGTTCCTCCTTGTTTACCTATCGAATCCCCTCATGATTTTGAGAGCTCCTATTGAGTCTCCTCTTAACCTTCTCTACTCCAATGAGGATAATCCTGGCTTCTCCAGCCTCTCCTGATAACTGAAGTCCTTCATTCCTGGTGCCATCCTGGTAAATCTCCATTGCACCCTGTCCAATGGCTTGACATCTTTCCTGAATCGTGGTGCTGAGAACTGAATACAGGTTAGGCTGTCTGAGGCCTTACCAGTGTTTTCTAAAGATTTATAATAACTTCCTGACTTTTTTTATATTCCACTATTTATTAAGACTATTATCCCGTATGCTTTTTTAACAGCTTTATCGATCTATCCTGCCACTTTCAAAGATTTCCTTATATGAAACCCCAGGTCTCTCTGTTCCTTCACCCCCTTTACGATTGTACCATTCATCTGATATTGCCTCTCCTCGTTCTTCCTCCCAAAATGCATAACCTCACAATTCTCCACATTAAATTTTATCTGCCTCGTGTTTGCCGATTCTACCATGTCCATGTCCTCTTGCAGTCTGGTACTATCCTCCTCACTGTTTACAACTTTTCCTTGCTTAGTATAATCTGCAAACTTGAAAATTGTACTCCCTATACCCAAGTCTATGTCATTTATATAGATGAAAAACAACAGTAGTCCCAATGCTGACCACTGAGGGACGTTACTTCATCAAAAATCTCAATCAGATTTGCCAGACATGATTTGCCAGATCAGTATTGACTGCCCTTTATTAAGTTACCACGTGACTTATCTACCTTGAGCACCGATAACCTTTTTAATACCTCCTCTCGGTATATTCTCATCCAATGCAATTTCTCTAAACTCTCCTCTGACACTGTGGCATTGGTTGAATCCTCTTCTTTTGTAAAGACAAGGCAAAGTACTCATCCGTATGTCTGCCTCCACAAAAAGATTTCCTCTCTGGTCCCTAATTGGACCCACCTTACCCTTGACTACCCTTTTATTCTTTAGATACTTATAAAATACCTTAGGGTTCCCTTTTATGTTACCCGCTAATCTTTTCTCATACAATCTCTTTGCCCCTCTTATTTGCTTTTTCAGTTCTCTGCTGTTCTTTCTACAAACTATTTGATTATCTTCTGTGTTTTGGAGCTGATATTTACCATTAGCCTCTTTTTCTGTTTTATTTTTAATCCCAATGTCCTTATTCATCAAGGAAGGTTTGGACACGCTATCTTTCTCCTTTATGAGAATGTGGCCCCAAACTTTCTACTCTTTGAAGGCTTCCCATTGCCCGTTAGTTGTTTTACCTAATTGTTCTTTCAAACCATAACAGCTGACCTTCCCTTCCCCTTCTTCTGTGACCATTGACACATCATCTGGGTCCCAGACGCACCTTTTCTCTCTGGTTTGCCTGTTTTGTTGGAATTTTTCTCCCAGTTTACATCATTAACACCACTTTAACCCATCATCTGCTGTCCTCCACCCTATTTTCTTCTTTGTCTTCCTTGCCCTGTCTCTCTCACGACTCCCCTCTCCATTCGTCCTTAAAAGCTTCTCCATCCCAACATTCACAAGTTCTGATGAAGGGTCGTGGACCCAAAATGTTGACTCACTTTCCTTTATCCATAGATGCTGCCTGACCTGCTGAGTGTTCCCAGCAACTTCTGTTTTTGTTTCAGATTTCTAGCTTCTGCGCTTTCATTAATCTTTCTTTCTTTCCAGTCCACCTTGGCTCCCCTTTAAACTCACTGAAATTAGACCTCTTGTCGTTGAGTACCTTCAGCTTTCATTGCTCCTTGTCCCTTTCCGCAATTACTCTGAACCTAATGATACTGAGATCACTGTTGTCCAGATGCTCTCCTACTGAAACAAAAACAGAGAGAGCTGGGAAAACTCAGCAGGTCAGGCAGCATCTATGGAGAAAGTAAAGTGAGTCAATGTTTCGGGTCCACAACCTGCTGAGTTTTCCCAGCTCTCGCTGTTTTTGTTTCAGATTCCAGCACCTGCAGTGTTTTGTGTTTTGCTCTCCTACTGAAACCTGCTCCACATCCCCCACTTCATTCCCTGGAACTAGATCCAGCATTGTTTCCTTCCTTGTTGGGCTGGAAACATACTGATCCAGAAAGTTATCCTGCACACATTTCATGAAATCTTCCCCCTCCTTGCCCTTTACACTGTTATTTTGTCAGTCTATGTTAGGATAATTGAAGATCCCCATTACCCTACACACAATGCACAAACATCCAAGTGAAACATATATACATGCACACACATCCCAGAGGAACACACACACAAACACAGCCCAGAGTAACACACACACTGCCCAGAGTACCACATACACAGCCCAAAGTAATGCACACACAACCTAGATTAACACACACACACACACACATATCCCAGAGTAACATACGCACATCCCAGAATAACACGCACACACATCTCAGAATAACACACAAACATATACACACACATCCCAGAGTAACACACACCTGCCAGAGTAACACAACACATGCACACGCATCCCAGAATAACACAGAAACACAGCCCAGAGTAACACACAGAGCACAGAGTAAAGCACACAGCGCAGATAACACAAACACACACACACAGCGCAGAATAACACACACACACACAGCGCAGTGTTACATACACATTTCAGTGTAACAAACACACGCATACACACACATTGCCCGGAGTAAAGTGGGCACTGTCCTCAGCCTCACACAATAACAGGTACACACACACTCACATAACCCAAAGGCTGACCCAGGCTGCCTGTTCAGCTGGACGTTGATTACATTATGAGGCACTATATTGAATGCAAGGATTTTTATTATTAAAAATTGTGTTTTATTTCAGACTATCAGCTCTCCTGCAATGGCAATAACAGCAGTGTTTCCATCTCTCGCTGTCTTCTGTTCACTGCTGGTTTCCCAGCAAATGTCTTGCACCTCAATGACCCGGAGTGTACCGGACACCTATCCCATGGGAGGCTACAATTCAACTTCGAAAGTAACACTAGAGCGTGTGGCAACAGACTCCAAGTAATAATAATAATAATTATAATTATGATGACATATTCAGCATTTCGGATCAATTTTTTCTCTTTAACATCTGATTTTCACAATATTGGGCAGTAATAGATTGTTCGTGTGCTGATATTATGCGAACCCCTGATTTGACCTTCATTACTCCGTTGGTCGACCAGTTGTAGCTGTGGGTCAAATTCATCATTATTATCTGTGAATATTATTCATTATTATTGATCATTCATATCTGGGTTATTTATTATTGTGGAATATCACAGCACAGTGGTTTGCACACTCGCCTCACAAACTAGGTTCGATTCCTGCAAGGGGGAAAACCTCAGGCAAATTCTCTTACTCCACATGCCTCTGTTTACCCAGCAGTAAGTTGGAACCCGCTTCTTAGTCGATTGGCGGATCGCTTTTCCGGGTCTAATAATCCCTTCAAAAATATATATTAATTTGGTCACTCGATCCATGATTGTCTGTCATATACTGCCGTGCACAATGGCTGCCAACAAAATACAGTCAATGCACTTTACAGTATATTCTTTGAAGCACTTTGAGAAGTCCCAACCACCTCATAAGGCAGTAGATCAAATATAATACAACACAAAATTACATTTATGTAGCTCCTCAGGAGGACCATTTCAAGGATTACTGTTACTATTAATCATCATATCTAGCTATTTATCCGGCTCGACCTGTTAATCACCGGGGCCTCAGCGTCTAGGATGTCACCATAACTGACAAGGCCATCTTTGTCCACCATTTCATCTCCCTCAACTCCCATACCCCACTCCCCACGTTCTCCAAACGTACCACCATCTTCTACTGCCTGTGGAAGAAGATCTCCCCGCAATCCCTCTCCACTGCACTGGAGTCCTCTGAACCCTTCTCCCTCTGGCCCACCTCCCGCACCAACCCAGCCTCTGCGTTTACTCTCTCCCACAGCACCCTCTCCATCACACTCGATGCCCTTGCCCTCTCCCCCTCCCATCTCCTGAACTGCCTCCTATTCCCGATCCCTGGTTCACCACCCACCTCCTCTCACTCAATGGCTAGTCGTGGGCTGCCGAACATACTTGGTTCAAATCCGGCCTAATGGTCCACTGGCACATCTGGCTGGACCACTTCAAAACCACCGCTCTTGCCTTGGCCAAATCGTCCTTCTACTCCAGGTTAATCCTGGAGGCGAAGGGCAATCACAGGCTCCTGTTCTCCACCAACAACCAGCTACTCTGTCTTCCCTATCATGCCTCACAGATTCTTTTGTCCGACTCTCACTGCAAGGAAATGCTGGACTTCCTCGAGTGAAAATCGAGGAAATCCGTTCAACTGCCACTGCCCTCCCAACATCCACCCTATCTGACTCTGACCACACTCTGACCACTACCCATCCCTCGTTCCACACCTTTGAACCTGTCACCCCCTCCTCTATCATCACCACCAAATCCTCCATGAAGCTCACCATCTGCTCCCTGGACTCCATTCCTACACCTCTCCTTAAATCCCAGATCTACCTCCTTGCCCCACTACTCGTCTACATCATCAACCTCTCCCTGTCATCTGGAACTATTCCTAACCCCCCCTCAAAACAGCCACTATCACTTCCATCTTCAAGAAACCTTTCCTTGACCCATCACAGCTATCCAGCTGCTGATCTCCCACCTCCCTTTTCTGTCTAAGATCCTTGAGAGACCCGTTGCCTCCCAGGCTAGCTCTTTCCTCTCCTCCCACATTCCCTCCAATCTGGTATCTGTGCTGCCCTCTGGTCAAGGTCACAAAGGACATCCTGACCATGTGTGCCCAGGGCTCCCTCTTCTTCACCGTCCTCCTCGACCTCTCTGCCGCCTTTGACACCGTGGACCACTCAATCCTCCTCCACCGCCTCTCCTCCCACCTCAACCTTCAAGCTTCTGTCCTTGACTTGTTCAGATCCTACCTTTCACACCGCCTCCACTTCGTCTCTGCAAACAGCTTCTCCTCCAGCCCCCCTACCATCTTGTGCAGTGTTCTTCGGGGCTCTGTCCTCAGTCTACTCTTCTTCACCCACTACATGCTCCCTCTTGGTGACATCATCCACAGACATGTGGTTAAATTTCCACATGTAATTGGATGACACCCAACTTTATCTCTCTGCCTCCATCCACAACTCCAGGACTACTGGCGTCCTGACCGACTGCCTGCCCCACATCAAGTTATGGATGAGGGACAACTTTCTCCAACTGAACGTCAGCAAGACCAAGACACTCCTGATTGGCTCGCATCAGCCTCCACGGCTGCACATTCAACCTCACTGAGCCGGTCAGGAACCTGGGTGTCTTGTTTGACCCTGAACTGTCCTTTCTCCCCCACATCCGCGCCATGACTGGCACTGCCTGCCATCACCTCCGCAACATTGCCAGACTCCGCCACTGCCTCACCCCTCAGGCTGCCAAAACCCTCACCCCCGCATTCGTCACATCAAGGCTCGATTATGGAAACTCCCTCTTCATCGGCCTTTCCAACTGTTCACTTCACAGGCTGCAGATCATCCAAAACTCTACAGCTCGTGTACTCTCGCACCCCAGGGTCCATGACCCCATCACTCCCACCCTCGCCCAACTCCACTGGCTCCCCATCCCTCAGAGGATCGAATTCAAGATGCTCGTCCTCACTTTCAAGGCCATCAGTGGCCTCGCCCCCTCCTACCTCTCTGACCTGCTGACTCCCTACCAAACTCCATTCAGCAGGCTCCGGGCTGCTCCATGTCTCCCATTTGACCCACCCTACCATTGGTGACCGAGCTTTCAGCCCCTCTGCCCCCACACTCTGGAACTCCATCCCACAGTTCCTTCACCTCATTTGCTCCCTTGCCTCCTTCAAGGCCGGTCTCCAGACCCTCCTCTTCGATCGTGCCTTCAGTCACCAACCCACCTCTGTGCTTTCCCTTACCTGTACCCCATCCTTTCCCTCAGGCTCGGGTCCTTACCCCTGATTGTCCAGCATCTTGTGACATCCTTCTGACGTGAAAGGCGCTCTATAAATGTAATGTTGTTGTTGTTGTATTGTTGCCTCTTCTTATATATGCATGTCCACATGCTGACAAGCTGCTGATAAATGTTTGACTTTCAGGTGAACAGCACACACTTCACTTACTCAAACACTATCCAGGGCACAGTCAATGAGAACATTGGGGGAGTCATCACCCGGGAACGCAAGATCTCCTTGCACCTTGCCTGCGAATATCCTCTCTCCATCAACCTGTCCAGCCCGAACATCACCCATGTGGAGAGGTAGGAAGCGATCAAGTTGTGTGATGGACGATGCCCAGTTTTTTTTGGGTCAGCCGGGTATCTGACTCATGCAGAAACCCATCACTGTGCTTAAGAGTACCCGAACCAAACCGGGAATTCCATGCATCCCACCTGCACATGGAAATCCCATAGATAGAGTGTTGGAATGCAGTGCCTTCTCTCTCCCTGTAGGAACGCATCCTGCTTACCTAATTCTGGAAAGTATTAGGCACGGGTTGGCAAGAGCCAAGGTATGGGGAGTCCAAAGTGTGCGTTGGGATAACTGCTGGAGTCCAACCAGCTAAAACCGCATAGACTGCCATTGAGAGCACTATTCTTGCAAACTTTCCTGCTGTTTGTCCAGGTGGGACCACCCTATCCGTTAGTCATGGCTTTGGCTTGTGGGTTAACAGGAGCTGAATGGGAGGAATCACTGACCCCGGTGAATTGGTCTGACCTTCCAGATCCTGCCGGTTAGCCAGCCTGGGCTGTGCTGTCATCAGCAACAACCTGGAATATTGCAGACACCATATTAAATAAGACTACACAGAGGACTGACCTGATTCTTACATTCCATTGCCAGAGGTGATGGCGTGAGCTGCATGTGTAGAACTAACTGTGAACGACTGAAGTTAATGGGAGCGCTCCCACATCCCCCCCCTCCCCCACCCTTTTCTCTCTCTCTCTCTCTCCAGCACAGTGACGGGGACTTTACCATCAGGACAAGGTACCTATGAGGGCCGGATGATACTGTACGAGGACTCGAGGTACAGCCAGCAATTCTCAAAGAGTCCCATCGTCCTGACCTTGAACGAAAGGGTGTACGTGGGAATTGCGATCTCTGGGGTGGACAGTGATCGCTTTGTACTGACCATGTCAAATTGCTGGGCTACACCCACCACTGACCCATTCAACCCAATCAAGTGGAACCTCATTACCAACCGGTGAGTGGAATCATGTAGTGTAGTGTTTAGAGCACCCAAGTGAGAGGATGCGAGTTCAACTCCACACATGCCTCTGCTCACCTTGCAGTAAGTAGGAACCCGGTTGTTTGTCAATTGGCAAGTTACTTTCCGGGAGTGATAATCCCTTCAAAAAATGATTTGGTCACTCTGCACGCAATTGGGGTGAAAGGGGTTAAGGGATATGGGGATAAGGCAGCGTCAGGTTATTAGCTGGAGTTAGATGAGAAGATCAGCCATGATTGAATGGCGGGGCAGAGGCTCGAAGGGCCGAATGGCCTCCTCCTGCTCCTACTTGTTGTGTTATTGGCTGCCGCATTTCGTCCAAAAAATTTACAGTCAATTCACTCTACAGTATATTCTGTGAAGTGCTTTGAGACAGACGTCTTGAAGGTGCGCTGAGGCACTATATGAAGTATTGTTATAATTTTGTTATTTTTCCTCTTGTCACTGACCAGTTAGTTAACGCCGAGCTCAGTCTGTGTTCGGGTGACTAAGCTTATGTTCCTCGTTCTTTCGTGTACCAGGTGTGTGAATTCCGTTGACGGCACGGTGAACATGGATGAGGATGGCGTGTCTACTGTCGGCCGCTTTTCCTTTAACGTCTTCAAGTTCATCGAAGATTCTGCAACGATTTACCTGCACTGTCAGGTTCAGCTGTGCGACATCTTGACTTCCCAGTGCTCTGTGGTGAGTGTCTGGGGAGTCATTCTGCACGGCTGAGCATGCAAGCTCCAACAAAATGTATTTCAGCCCAGGACAGTCTGTGTCACTCCGGCTCAGAGTGTGTGTCAGTATGTGTCAGCCCGGCTCAGTATGTGTCAGCTCGGCTCAGTGTGTGTGTCAGCCTGGCAATTGTGTGTGTCAGCCCGGCTCAGTGTGTATCAGCTCGGCTCAGTGTGTGTGTCAGCCCGGCTCAGTGTGTGTCAGCCCGGCTCAGTGTGGTGAATGTATGGAACTCACTACCCGAAAGGGCTGTTGACGCTCAATCCTTGAACATAATCAAGACTGAGATAGACAGATGTCTTATTGCAAAAGGGATTAAGGGATATGGGGATAAGGCAGCATCATATTATTAGCTGTAGTTAGATTAGAAGGTCAGCCATGATTGAATGACAGGGCAGAGGCTCGAAGGGCCGAATGGCCTCCTCCTGCTCCTACATGTTATGTTATGATATGTTGTGTTATGTTATTATATTAACTGCTATGCTGCGGGATTCCAGCACTACACTTCAGTTCTTTGTGGCGAACAATCAATCGTTGATAATGCCATTTTTCCACCCTCCCCCACCCCCACCCAGGACTGCACTGAGAAAAGCGTCCGTAGCGCAAAGAATTTGGATTCTGCCTTGTTACTGACCTCCACGCAGATCTTAAAACAGTCAACAGGAAACACAGGTACATATACGTGACGGGATGTGTGACTAAGATGAGAAGGTTCCTCCAACAGCACATTGTTAACTGAAATTGGGTCAAACATTTAATATATTTTCATTATCAATAAATCCCTTGAAATTCAAGTATATATAATTTAAGATTTCGAACACCGAGATAATCCAGCTCACAGGTACAAGCACAGGTGCCACTTCAACAAACAATTTTATTAAAGAGACCTTTATATACCCCGGTGCATGGACAGAAAAGGGATATTTACCGATCCGGTAAAATTGTCATTATATCTTAATCCCTTTAAGGGGCTGTGTTCATTTTAAGCAAGTTATTGACTATTACTTATACACTGTGATGAAGGGTTCATGATGTTCGAGACCATCCGTTCAGGCTCAAAGATACTGTTCCTTTCATTTTTTACTCCTCACCTAACAAACACTATCTCATTTGAACAGTCTCCAACCGTTTTCCCAGACAAATCAAGAAGATTGGATTTCTGTTTGGTCAGCCGGATGTCTGTCATTTGCGGAAACCTATTTTCGTGCTTAAGTGTATGCAAACCAAGCCGAGAATCTCATGCAAATGAAAACCCCAGAGGGAGATTATTGGAGAGGCGACATGATTGCTGTCTTTAAGATTCTTGAAGGGCTAAAAATATATATCATGACATATGCTTCATATGTTTCAACTTGTCCAGAATAGTAAAACCAGAGGACAAGGCCTGCGATTGAACAACAACAACAAGATTCCATTTATAGGGCGCCTTTCACGTCGGGAGGACATCCCAAAGCGCTGGACAGTTGGGTCAGGACCCGAGCATTGGGGGGAAATGTTCAGGATGAGGGAAAGCAAGGGAGGGAGCGAGGAGGGGGTGAAATGGTTAGGGTGAGGGGAGGGAAGGGAGGGAGTGAGGAGGGGGTAGAGAGTTGAGAGGGAAGCTGAAGGCACGGTCAAAGAGAAAGGTCTTGAGACTGGCCTTGAAGGAGGAAAGGGAGGAAGCGGCGAAGGCACTGGGGGATAGAGTTCCAGAGCCTCGGGGCTGAGAGGCTGAAGACCCGGCCACCGATGGTAGGGCGGTTGGGGCGGGGGATGTGAAGCAGACCGGAGCCGGAGGAACGGAGGGTACGGGAGGGAGATAGGGGGATAGTAGGTCGGAGAGGTAGGAGCGAGCAAGGCCATGAATGGCCTTGTAGGCGAGGACAAGGAAGAGGGGTAAATTCAGGACAGATCTACACAAATATTATTTCAGTGAGCAAATAGTCAACCTGTGGAATCAGCTCCTTATGGAGATGGTTGAAGCAGGAAACACAGATTGGAGAGTTTTCTTTTTAGGAAATAATATTATTGGAGTTTCGGGGTGTTAGGCCTTTGGCTTCCAAAGTTAACAGGAGCTGAGCAGGAGGATTCCCTAACCCCGGGTGACATGTCTGCTCTTCCAAATCCTGCCGATGAACCAGGCTGGGTTGTGCTGTCACCAGCCGTGCCCTGGAACATTATGGACCTGCTTGGCTCAGGAACCGGACTAGAGACCATCACAGTGGGTTGACTGGATTGCTAATTTCCATTGCCAGGCATGTCACTTTGAAGCCAATTGGGAAATGGGAGCAGACAGAGGAGTGGGGTACAAGTAGGTCAGAGAGGTAGGGAGGGGCCATTGTGGAGGGATTTGTATGTGAAGTTGAGGATATTGAAGTCGATAAGTCCTGCTACATGTCTCCCATCCCCTCCCTCTGTGCTCCCATGTTTACATCTACCTGAAGATCAGCCTCTTCAAACACAACTGCGGACACCACCCCCTTTCTCCCTTGCTCAGAGTCCAAACAAAAACAACGTTAAAGAACATTTTTATAGCGTCATTCATGTCAGGAGGAGGTCCTGAACTGTCAGCATTGGCATGCGAGCTGCAGATCCGTGACGCTTGCGCGCTGTGTAACTCTGTATTCTGTAGAACAGTGACTATTTTATGCTGTGTATCTCTGTGCTCTCTGGAAACCCGGCGAACTCACATCCTGTTCTTTTGTTTTGTCCACAGACCTGTCGGTGGGCAGCGGTTGTGGGCATCTCTCTGTCCTGTCCACGCTCTGGGCTGTGCTCACTCTCTGCGTTGCCATGTTCATGATGTGAAGAGCCATGTTTTAAAACTTGTGGTCTCTTTCACTGGGTGAAGGGAATGGGAAGGGTTTGGTAACTATATATAAATCAACTCTTTATCGTATTTCGGTGATATGTTTTCCTATGATAAGATCTCCATCCGGTTTTGTCGATCAGCCGCAGACAAAACAATAAATTATATTTGTACAGCACGTTTCAAACATCAGGAGCACAGGAGATCATTCCAAGGTTCTGGATGGTCAGGGGAGTGGACCTGAGCAGGAGGTTGGGATCAGAGTGATGGAGGGCAGGGCGGTAGAGGATGAGAAGAAGAGGGTCTTGGGAATGAGGCAAAGGAGGGTTGATGTGAATGGACAGTGGGATGGAGTTCCAGAGAGTGAGGCAGAGAGGTTGAAGGCCAACGGTGCAGCGGGCAGGGTGGAGCAGGCCTTCAGCGGAGGGAGAGGACAAGTCTCTCTGGAGCTAAAGCCAGAGCAAGAGGGAGTCCCACACAGGTCTAACCTCTCCTCTCTGGTGTGAAGTAACTTCTCTCTCCCCCAAGAGAGCGTTCACTTAACCTGAGAGTGGTTCGGCCCATGCTGGCGAGAACAGAGGCTTGGGCGGACCACAGGGTATGTGTTTTTGGGGGGAGGCAAATTCTGGAGGTTAACCAACTGAAAAAAATATTTGGTCCTCTCCCCACCGTTGGTAAGGTTCCCGCTGCTTGTCAATCAGGGCTTTGGCTCAGGAGCCGAGTGAGCGGTCTGCTCGCCTCTCAATCCTGCTGACCAGGACAGACCATATCTGGGAGAAATGCAGCCTCGCCTGGGCTCAGGGCAATCGAGAGAGTGAAAGAGAGACATAGTGAGAGAGAGACAGAAAGGCATAGAGAGACAGAGAGAGAGAGAGAGAGAGAGAGAGAGAGAGAGACGTGGAAAGGTGGAGATAGAGCGAGACAGACAGAGAGAAAGATAGAGAGAAAGAGACAGATTCGGTGTGTGTGTGTGTGTGTGTGTATGTATATGGGGTGGGGGCGCTGGTGTCTGTTCTGATCTGTAGACAGTCGTGTACAAATTATAATCTGTGAATCTATTAAAAAAAATCTTATTTCCTGTGGTAAATTTTTAACTCAATAACTTCGGTGCAGCAGCAACAACGGCTCACATTTATATAGTGCCCCTCATGCAGGCTTGGGGGGGTGGGGTGGGAGGAGAGGGAAGTGACCGTGGGCACGATTTGAAAACGGCGAAGGAAGCAGCAAGGCGGAGGGGTCGAGGAAGAGTGTTCCAGAGTTTGGGGCGCAATGGCCAAAAGTATGGCCACCAATGGTGGAAAGGAGGGCATGGGGGAACCTGTACAAGGTTGGAGCCAGTCGAGTGAAGGCAGCGTATTTTGGGTTTGGGGTGGGGGGGAAGGGGTGGTGTGTTAAGCAGGTCGGAGTGGCGAGGAGATGCTAGGGATGAAGGGATTTGGAAACGAGTGTGTGGATCTTGAAGTTGACCCATTCGGTGATGGGGAACCAGTGCAGCTTGGCCAGAGTGGGTGTAAGGGGGGTGTAGAGTTTAGTGCGGGAGAGTATGCGGGTGGCAGAGTTTTTGGGATCATTTGGATACTGTGCACTGTGGAGTTCGGGGGACCGGCAAAGAGAGAGTTTAAGATTGCGTTTCCTCTTGAAGCACAACACAGGCAGACACGCCGACACAACAACAACACGATTCCATTTATGGAACGCCTTTCACATCGGGATGACGTCCCAAAGCGCTGAACAGTTGAGTCAGGGACGGAGCAGGGGGGAAATGGTCAGGGTGAGGGGAGGGAAGGGAGGGAGGGAGGAGGAGGTAGAGAGTCGAGAGGGGAGCTGAAGGCACGGTCAAAGAGAAAGGTCTTGAGACCGACCTTGAAGGAGGAAAGGGAGGAAGCGGCGAAGGCACTGGGGATGGAGTTCGAGAGCCTCGGGGCTGAGAGGCTGAAGGCCCGGCCACCGATCGTAGGGCGGTTGGGGCGGGGGATATGGAGCAGACCGGAGCCAGAGGAACGGAGGGTACGGGCAGGTAGATAGGGGGATGGTAGGTCGGAGAGGTAGGAGGGAGCGCGGCCATGAATGGCCTTGTAGGTGAGGATGAGGATCTTGAACTCGACCCTCTGGGGTATGGGGAACCAGTGGAGGCGAGCGAGGGTGGGAGTGATGTGGTCGCGGTGTCTGGTGCGGGACAGTACACGAGCTGCAGAGTTCTGAATGACCTGCAGTGTGGAGGGAGGGCCGGGAAGGCCGGCGAGGAGAGAGTTCCCATAGTCCGGCCTTGAGGTGATAAGGGCGTGGACCAGTGTTTCAGCCGCGTGAGGGGTGAGGTAGTGCCGTAGTCTGGCGATATTCCGGAGGTGATGGAAGGCGGTGCCAGTTGTGGCGTGGACGTGAAGGTGAAAGGACAGCTCAGGGTCGAACAGAACCCCGAGGTTCCTGACTGGCTTTGAGAGGTGGAGAGTGCGGCCTTGGATGCTGATGCTGTCAGCGCCTGAGGTGCGGAGGCGCTGACATGAGCCAATCAGGAGGGCCTCAGTTTCACGCACGTTGAGCTGAAGAAAGTTGTCTCTCGTCCAGGACTCGATGTCGGACAGGCAGCTGTCAGGACATCGGTGAAGGACAACATGAATTCATTAACTCGTGATAAGGCACTGTATCAAATGCAGCGATTATTATCACTGTCATCAGCGAAGTTGGCTGCCGCGTTTCACCCACAAAACAAACAGTCACTACACTTGACAGTTTGTCATGTGAAGCGCTTTGAGACGCCTTGAAGAAGGGATAAGGCGATATATCAACTGCAAGGATTATTATCACAGAACACACTGTAAAGTGAATTGACTGTAGATTTGTGGGCGAAAGCGACAACCAATTGCGCACAGCAATGTCCCACAAACAGTCGTAGGTTGAAAATGACCAATTTATTATTGTTTTGGTTTTGGAGGGATTATTATTAGGCTGTGTGTGGAGTTAGGAAACTTGCCTAAGGTTTCGCCCTGACCTGCCGGGAATTGAACTCAGATCTCTCGCTTGCAAAGTGGGTGCTCTAACCACTGAGCTACAGGACTCCACAAATATAAATAATGTGATATTTATGCAACAACTTGCATTTGTATAACAACTTGCATTTGTATACAACTTGCAACTCATATAACAGAGAAGGGGGCTAATCGGTCCATTGTATCTGTGGCGTCTCTTTGAAAAGTGCTATCCAAATGAACCCCACTCCCACAATCTCTCCCCATAGCTCTGCAACTACTCCGGATTTAACATTTAACAATGAATAAACACTGGGTGTACATCTTAAGAAAAACTGCCATACATGTGTGATGATTTTGTTTATGTCTTAGCTCATCAAGAATATGAGATGCACGGAATAAAAATATGCCCATGACACTCCCCTTTGCAAGAGCTTTCCAATCAGGTATAAACTTTGTCTTATTGAGTACTTTGCGGACGGACAGATACACAGACAGATACACAGACATTACCTCTTGATTAGAATAACTAGATTGAGTTTCTCTCAGTGAACGATTCACACCCTGCGACCAAACCGTGGTTCTACTTCCAATAATCATCGTTGCATTTCATATAACGCCTTATCACCCGTCGAGACGTCTCAAATCGCTTAAAAGGATAGACTGTAAAGTGCAGTGACTCTATGTTTTGTTGGAGGACTGCGGCAGCATATTGACACAGAATTGTATCCCACAAGCAGTCGTGCATTGAGTGACCATATTATTTATATGTTTGTATATTTAATATTTATATATTTATATATTCTTTTATTCATGTATTGATTATTTTATTGATTTATGTATTTGAATCACAATCATAGAATTAAATAACAGAGAAGGGGGATAATCGGCCCATTGTATCTGTGGCGTCTCTTTGAAAAGTGCTATCCAAATGAACCCCACTCCCACGATCTCTCCCCATAGCTCTGCAACTACTCCGGATTCACCGCTCTTACCACAACTTGTCCCACTCCGCTGCTCTGACCCTAACTGATCCTACTCCCACGCTTCTATCCAAACTAGACCGCTCCCCTTCTCTTATCGCAATTATTCACACACCCCCATTCATACACAACTTTTCACATTTCCCCCTTCTTATGCATAACATGCCCGTTCTCCGCTCTCACTCCAAATAGTCCAACACCATTGCAATTTCTCCAACTACTCCCACTGCCCACTTACTGACTGCCAACTTGTCCCACTCCCCTGCTTTCACCTCAAAAGTCCCACTCCCCTGCTCTTATCGCAACTTGCCCCACTACCCTACTCTTTCCCCAACTTGCCCCACCACCCTAGCTCCCAATAATTCAAATCCCCCCCTACCGAACGTAGCCCCACGCTTCCGCTCTGACACCAATTAACCCAATTCTCCCATTCTTACCCCAACAAGCCCCACTCCACCTGCTATTACCCCAACTAGCCCAACTCTCCCGCTCTTACCCAATAGCCAAGTCGTGGTTTGGTTGATTATTGTAATTTATTTCTTTTTTGGAAAGGATTATTATACCCGGAAAAGCGAGCCGCCAATCGCCTACCAAGATGTTCCTACTAACTGCTAGGTAAACAGACATGTGTGTTTGTGTGTGTGTGTGTGTGTGTGTTTGTGTATGTGAAGTAAGGAAACTTGTGCAAGGATTTTCTCCGACCCACCAAGGAAGCGAACCCAAGTTCTATGGCTTGCGAGGCGTGTGTTCTCACCACTGAGCTACAGGACTGCAAAATTCAAATGTTCAAAATTGAAATCTGAGCTTGGTTTGGAAACCGTTAAACGCAGTGTTGGGTTTATGCTGTATCACCAATAAATAAATAAACCAATAATCAAAAAATAAATAAAAGTTGACGTGACTTGGAGGAGACTTTCTCAGAATGGCAACTATTGTTTTATTGTGCAATTTCTCAGAAACGTTTACTAAATGGGATAACCAGTTTACATTCTCACATTGTGCCAAATAACAACAACAACAAAATTACATTTGTAAAGCGCCTTTCACGTTGGTAGCACTTCCCAACCCACTGGACAGACAGAGTTACGTACTCGAGTTGAGTGTCGGGGTGGGGGAGGGTGGAGGGCAAGGGGGCAAGAAGGGAGTTCGAAAACACGGTGGAAGAGGAGGGCCTTGAGGAGGTTCCTGAAGATGGCGAGGGAGGGGCGAGACAGAGGGGCTGTGGGATGGATTTCCAGAAGATGGGTGCAGTGCGGCGGAAGTCCCGCCCGCCGATAGTAGGGCGAGCAAGGCGGGTCATCGTACCTGTACCAGCTCTTTGACAGAGAAACCAACCAATTCCACTCCCCCCCACCTTAGACCAACTAGTCCCACTCCTCCGCTCTTTCCCCAACTTGTCCCACTGCCCCCACGCTTAGATCAGCTAGCCCCGTTCCCCCCTCCTACCCCATCCCATCCCGCTCACCCACACATCCACACTCAGAACAACTAGTCCCACTCATCCACCCTCACCACTAATGGTCCCAATCCCCCGCTCTTACCCCATACTCCGGCATTTGACCATTACAAGTCCCTGTCGTTTTTTCAAAGCTCCTATCAAATCTGCTTCCACGAGCATAGCCTTCGAGACGTATCAATACACTTCACTGAATATACATTAAAGCGAATTTTGTGCCTGAATCGCAGCAGCCAATTGCAAACAGAACTGCTTGGGAACCAGAAGTGAGTTTGGGGAGTAAGGAAATTTGCCTAAGGTTTCACCCTGACCACGACTCGAACCCAGGTCCACCCGCTCCTCTAACCATTGAGCTACAGTACTCCACATTCTGTGCTACAAAATATAATAATAATCTTGCATTCAATATAGCGCGTTATCACGTCATTCATTCCGTAAAACTAATCAACTGTATATTTCTGGGCGAAACAGGGCAGCCAATTGGACACAGCAGTGTCTCAGAAGCAGTCGTGGATACATTGACCATAGTATTATTGGTCAACTAAAGCACGTGACTGCTTCATTTGAGGAATTGCGCAATGTGGCCTCGCTACATCCTATTTAAACCCGGGTAGAGAGCAGCAAGCACCAAACACTCGCTGCCACTTCACTCCAGCCAACTCTTTGTCAGACTCCGC